CGAGATCAGACGGCCAAAACAGTGGCAAAGGTCTTAATAGAACACTGGTTCACCAAATATGGCATACCAATACAATTACACTCTGACCAAGGAAGGGCCTTCGAGTCAGAAGTAATTAACCAACTGTGCAGCCACTACGGGATCAACAAATCTAGAACAACCACATATAATCCTAAAGGAAACGGACAGTGCGAACGGTTCAACCGCAGCATGCATGATTTGCTGCGTACTCTAGAACCTGAACAGAAAAAACGTTGGCCTGATTTTCTCCCAGAGTTGGTATATCTATACAACTGCACCCCCCATGCCACAACCGGCTTTTCGCCACACATGTTACTGTTCGAACGGGAGGCTCGACTCCCTCTTGACTTGTTCCTAGGAAAAAAGGAAAGTATGACTGGCTCATACACCGCACTGGAATATGTGAATGAACATATGAGACGAATAAGAGAAATGTACAGGGTAGTACAAGGAAGACTAGAACATGAAGCACGGCGAAGAGAACCGCGGGTACAGACAAAAGACCCGCCACTCCAACTGAACGACAAAGTATTACTGCGTAGCCACCCATTAGGCAGAAACAAAATCCACGACCTCTGGGGACAGGAGATATGGCAAGTCGTGGAGACGCCTAAAGTAGCCGGTGGCCCCTTTAAAATAAGACCCACCAATCACACCAAACCGGATCGGTGGGCGAATATTGCTCAACTAAAGAAATATTGGCATAGTCAAGAAGAGCATTTACACACAAAGAAACCTAAGACAATTAGGGAACCGGAAACTTACACGGAAATTCTCATACCCATCCCGGAACCATGTCACCATCAACAGCACAACAGCGATACACAAGTGGAGGATAACGGCAACAATGAGAATCCCGGTCCTCCCAGAAGCAGAGAGACATTAGAACAGCAGATAAGTGGTCCGCGGAGAAGTTTGAGAAACAGAAAGAATACGAAAGTTTTCGTCAGCAACCATCAATTCTTTCATGGTCGCGCTGGGATGAGAACAGACTGTTCAAAAGCTATCAAAGTGAACTGGTGAAGACACCAAACGAAAAAAGGCGGAGGTGGATGTGAATTCTAGAACTGCTTTGTGTCTGAGGAATATGATGTAGACACATTTGATAGTGAAAAAGGGATAACTGTCAATCTTATACGAATGTGACGACATTGACAGTGAGTGGAACAATAAATTTTTTTTACGGCGGTGCGTTTGACATTGAAGGAGTGCACCTGCCAAGCGTTGTTTGTGGTTGAAAATACACAAAAAAAGGCGGGGGTGGATGTAACTAGGGTAGTTACCATACTATTGTAAGAACGTATTAAAGTCTGATGCAACAGGTGTTGGACTGATAAGCCACGGCGTATTTTGGGAAGCAATACGACAAAGCCGCTGCGCAGTCACAGTCTGACGTAATAGTGCAGGTGGTCTAATAATCGGACTGTACGACAGAGCTGCGCAATTAATATTCTGATGCAACGATTAGAATAGATTACGAATACGATTACGATTACGAATACGAATACGATTACGAATACAAGGGATATATGGGAAGGCGACAGTTGAGAAGGGAAAGCCGAACTGTAGAGACGTGTTTCGGGGGAGTATCAAGTTGGTTACTGAACGGGGTAGACGTATTGTGTTATGTGAGGATAGGAATTATGGACACGTGCATTCTGTTATGTGAGGACTAGTGAGGACAGTGGGGGTCAGTTGGTTCATTGTATTCTTATGGAACATTGATGCATTTTTATGTGGAGCATTTCTATTGATTCATGTAATAAAGAGATCAATGTAAACCTGCATTTCCGAGTATCTATATTGTGGTCGATGTTGTGTGCTGGTCAAAGGTAGCACGAGTAAATACACTCGGTAACACTTGGCTCTGTCAGCAGTGAAATCGGTAACATTTAGCACTACAAGCAAATAGACTCGGTAACATATATATAATACACTACAACCAAAAACAATGAACGCAACACAATCTGTTTTGTAATTCTTGTAAAAAAAAATTCTTACATAATTTATAATTCCTGGGAAATCATTTAAGACAAGTGAAATAGGGGAAATAATCACGCTCTTAAATATAAATATGTATATATCTACACATTTAATTATAAATGTCAAATCAAATAAATAATTACTTTAGAATATAATGAAATTGTTTAACACTATTCGTGTTTACAAAATGTTTTTGTCTATAATCAGAATTTTAATATATCGTCATCATAAATGCTAAAGTTTTACAGCATAATGAAAGTTTTTAAAATCAGAGTTGGTATAAAACCACGCTTTCCGATATAAAAGATAAACATTTGGAATAACAGCCTACATTTAACTAAATATCGGTCTTATAGTTCAGATCACATATTTTAATAAAATACTGCTTCGTTGTGTTCTTTAAAGATCATTTTTTAACATAGTGATAGATATGGGTTAGATCGTTAGATCACTGTATTGATCACACACCTTTTTACTGGTAATTGCAAACACAATATTCAACAGAGTTTTACGTTTAAAAAGCTAATTTTCTGGCGGCATGGTACTTTGGTACATCTTTACGCGTTTTTCTACATCAGTTCGGGGTGGGTTGGGGGGGGGGGGGGTCAACTTCATTCACCACTGTCCGTTCACTTTAGGTCAATTATCCAACCCAGTGTATACCTAGGTGTGACAATAATGTCGCTCTACACAATTGTGGTGGTGAGGTGTGGGGGGGGGGGGGGAAGATAACCAACTCAGAGTGAACATAGCGTCAGTTTTTAGATGACTGTTCTAAACATACATATATATTACACAAATATATATTACACAAATATATATTACAGAAATAGATTTAAATAAGTAGCAGTGGTATTATGACAATATTTTTTTACAGAGGGGTCCATGGGGGAGGGGGGTTGTAACTGTTTCATATAATTTGTAATCGTAATCACTATCGATCAAACTGTAAGAATACTACTACTTCATCGTGATGACGTTGTTGACCTTGTCAAAATTTCCCCACCACTACGCAGTTTGGTCATAAATAAATTTAAATAGAGGTGCCACATCAGTTGTATTTGTTTCTGTATTGTAATTTTTTTAAAATTAATCACACCATTCAAACTGTATATATAAAGTAATTATGTGTGAAGTTTTATGTATAGCATTTTCTAATTCAATTATTCGTAAGCAAATACATTATACAGTTGCCATAAACTTAACACCCCTCTTGCTAAGTGGTACTACCGTAGAGGTTTTTTAAATATTGCAATGCATCGTAAATGTTATTTTTAGAATGGCAAACTGATGCAGCTGTAAATACGTGTTGTAAGCGTAGACACTACTAGACTAGTACAATAATGCTTAATTGCTGCATGAAAAGAAATCTTGTGATTTACATAGATGTGCCGACCAAAAATATTTTTAAAATAAATATCATTGTTTAAAACCTTGAGTTTAAAAAGTTTCCAAAAAGGCGCCACTTAGCTGAAAATGGCCAGAGGGGGAGCGGCCGCTCCCCCTGCTCCCCCCCTGCGTACGCTACTGTGTGATAGATTTTTTGGGTATTCCATAGTGGCTCATTAACTTCCAGATAGCATCTCTATTCACACTGTCAAACGCCTTTTCAAAGTCGACAAAAGTCATTGCGGGGTCTGGCGGCACTGTAGTTCCGCCCCTGTATCCCACCAAGCCTTAGACAACACGGTTTTGTCTTTTAAAACACGGATTTCGGCTGAGCATGGGTCTGACCACACTTTCCCTTCATATGCTGAGGTCACATGTGAACTTTACTTCACCTGCTGAACTCTACTTAACGTGCCCCGTTTCCCGCGAAGTCCAGATAAGCAACTTTATTCATTCACATACAAAAAGAAGTAACCTCAGGTAACATGTTTTTGTCTTTTAAATTTTTTAATTTATTTCTATACTATTTTTTGAGCTTGAACCTCATTTGACCAATAAATTATTAAAGTTAACGTCAAACTAATATTAATGAACTCGCTGCATACCCGTGCTCCGCCATGGTGAATATTTTTACTTTCTCGTATACGAAGTAGGCCTATAGAGGAAGTATTGTAATAGTGGAAAAAATAAATTAAAAAATAAACATAGATCTTGAGATTTTTACAAATCTCGACGTTTTACACCCCCCTAAGTCAGGAAAATATAGTTTTGCAATCTTTTCCGTATGTCTGTCTGTGTATGTGAACACGATAAATTGAGTACCATCAAAAGCCTATAACTTGGTTAATGTTTCAGACAGATAAATGACATTTTACATGTAAGTAAAAGATCTAATTCTCTGCCTTCTTTCAAATTTTGAGTTATTTCCGTTGACCGGAAGTAGTAATTTACGCTATTTCCGATTTATCAAAAAAAACGCATGTAAATTTATAAAGTATTAATACTATTCCTCATGGTTATACACAGATTGTTTGGCGTTCACTTGGTGCGCAATTCTTTTTTTGTATTAGATGTTATTCTATTTTGAAAAGTTTAAGTAATTAAAAATTATGTCTATATCCCGAGTTGCCATCCCCCGTAGTGTTATATAAGAATTTTCGAGAAAGTTTTGGTGATGTAGATCACTCCCGGTTTATTTTAAATTCTAACTTGGCAACAGAACAAAAGTAAACACAATTTTTGATTTATACAAATCTACTTCCCTATGACTGCCCCCCTCCACATTTCCCCGCTTGGACGTCATATATGGATGCTTTTATAAATGGAACGGTATTATTTCGGGTCTAAGATAAAGCGTTCTATTAGCAATTTTATTGGAACATCAACATCACATTGTGTTGTTTTCGAACATTCAAATAAGGTATATTTTTTTAATTATTTAGCTATAGAAAAGAAAGTAATTTTTCCTAGAGTATTCACAACATGACATTTTGTAGTTTTTGAGAAAAATTTATATTGCTAATCAAGTAAATTTTTATTATTAATATTCAAGTAGAACTTTGTTTACAAAGTTTTATAAATAGACAGGATATATATACAAAAACAAGTTTGATGAAGAAAAGTAAAATTTAATTTATATTGAATCACAAGTAAACACCAGTCATAGTTAAATCAACAACACCAAAAAGTCGGTTGAATTACTGATCTAAATATAAACTACTTTAAAAAGTTTAAAATTGAATACCATAATGAAAAACAAAGTTTGTACAGTAGACAATATAGTACAATACGCATTTTAAATACAGTTGTTAATTTTAATTCTTTTAGTTGACCAGTCTAGCTGTTTTTTCATAATTTTGATACACAAATATTTGATAATAAATAAATAATCTATTTAAAAATCAAGTCACATGTTGTTACATCTGTTTTGCAAAAGGTAAGGTCCAAGCTACGTCAGTGGAATTTGATTGCATTTTTATTATGTCAAGATAATTATCTAAATGGCGAGACCAAATACGCTAACAATGCAGAACATAGTCTTGTTTTCCCACCTGACTGTGCAACTACCTGAAATTAAAAAATAGACATTATAATTTTACACTCACAATTATTTACTGATCAATAAAGAATTACAGAAAAGGGGGAAGGTACCATCAGTAGAATTGTCCCAAAAACAAGTGCTTGCAGTATGAAGTCCAGCACCATTTTTCTGCATTATCACACAAGTAACTGTAAAACAGAGACAGCAGATTAAATAAAGTATGTTATCCAGCTACTGCAATTATAGAATTATTTTATTGTATTTTTTTTACCTATGTATTTAAATGGTTTTCCCAGTTTTGTCAGCTGATTCAAACATTGCTCTACCACATTAGATGTCCACTGATTAACTTTGTTGTGCTGATATCCATTACCACCAATGGCTCCTTCTACAGCTTCTTTTATGATATTTGTCACTTCATCAACAACAAAAGCTGTCTGAATTTTAAAAAAATTTAACATTGAAAGTATAAATCTAAGTTATTGTAGTACAGTTGTGACTAGGTATCATTGTATTAGTAGATAGATATTTACATTGCTACAAAAAGTGTGTGTGCATTATACTGAGTGTTCTCATTAAATTGAATAGCTTTTAAAGTAAGTTAATTTTAACATTTAACTTATTAAGAGTAAGAACATATTTCTTAGAAATGATACCACTAGGGGGTATCACATAGTATATGTATACAAGATATAAATAAGTCTCCTTTATAAAATTTGGGAATTTAAAAGGGGTCACCCATTTATTAAGTCCATATTTTAAATTAATTGATTTTTAGACACCCCACCTCCCAACCTATGTGCACATCCACAAAAACAGTTATGAGATAACTTACTTTCAATATACTAACTAAATAAATAACTTACAATGCTAATCATTTATATACTTAATTGTTTACCAAAATGTCTGTTATTACACTCAAAGTAGAATCTACTAATGTGTAGAAACCCAACATTTCAAATGTATAAATACAATGAAATGTATGGCTAGAAATAAGTAATACTTCTTTCCTAAACAGTATCTTTATCTCTGAAGACAATTTAAAGTGACAGTTGCTGCAGCAAATCAGCTATCCCTTCATTCATTCATGCTATTTTCTTTCTGAGTTTGAAAATTGTGGGACAACAAGCTGTTAGCTACTATACAGTCATGATGTTACTAATAACTATAACAATTGGGGTAAAATAAGTATGAAATATCAGATGATAAAGGAGGTGCACAAGGAAGCGAGAAATGAATACATTTCTTCAACCAGGCAAAAAATTTGGAATCTGCTGCCTTCAACTATGGAAAGTTTAGTCAAAATGCAATTTGTTGTATTTACATTAACTTTCCAAAGAAATTGTTAATACAACTTGAACATACAATATAAATATTTTAACAAAATACAAAACAATAAGCAATAAAACTAATGAAAAAAAAACACTGAAAAAATCCAATGAAAAAAATCACAACAAAGATATTTTAACTTTACTGATAGCTTACTTGCTGAAAAAGAAAAGCAAGTAAATTGAATTAAACTTTTAGTCAAAGAATGACACCCTAGCAAGCCACCCCCCCCCCCCCCCCCCCCCCCCATGAACTGGTTAACGAATAGTTATGTTTTTATTCAATTTTACAAAAATATTGTGTGAAAATATGAAAAAGTTCAGTTTTTTAAAATTATTTTTTGAAATGCATAAGTGTGAATTCAAACTAAAATGTATCACACAAAGAAATTTCAGAGCCATCTACTACTCCCTTAGTATTTAGAATTATGATGTCACTTTTGGAAAATCTGCATATTACACCTCATTTAACACCTTGTGTAATCACCAAAATATATTCAATCACTAGATCTAGTAGATATAAAATAAAACAACTTTTTTAATAAACTTTGTTTACTTTGGTAAATAATGTGATTCTGGATATCGGATAAAAAGTTAGGATTATTACATAATATAAACTAAAAAATGGAAAATTAATAATACAAAAAAAAAAGGGGGGAAACAACAAAAACGACCAGTACAATAACACAAACAGTGTTGAATTAGTAACAAAAAAGCAGAATTATTTATTTCTTCAATAACATCTTAAAATCAAACAGTTTGAGTTATTTCTAGAGAATGTTTCTTTTTGTAAATAATGCCATTTTGATATAAATTAATAATTTTTAAAGTGCTGTTAAAGTAGTGTAATAATAGTATTTAAAACCAACATTATTACAATTATTTTTATGACTACAGAAAATTAATGTTCTTCTACCACACTGATTAGTTTCAAACTTGACAAGTAGGTCAAAGCCTGCTTTGGCATGGTGGTGGGGCATACTGGCAGGTGAGCCACACCAACAGGTTTGCAGCATACATGTATGTTTGTATGGTTTTTGTGTTAAGCTAGCCATGCACTGTGCTAAAAACACCAATGCTACAAAAACATTTACACCATTAAAAATATGTTTCCCACTCTCAAAGGGAAATGAAGTGGATTGGTCAAACCAGAAAGGGAGCTGAATTGCAGACTTCCACCTTTAGTCAAAAAGAACTCCCAAGTTGACAACTGGAATGTTACGATGATGTATGAGATGGTGGCGATAAATCAAGTAACAACAGAGATGTGAAAATATAACTTGAGTAGGCCTCTACTAGAAGTCAGCAAAGCAAAGTGGGTGCAATCAGGAAAAGTTATATACAGAAGAAACAATTTTGTATTCAGGCAATCACTGCAAACTACTCTACTGTCTTCTATCTGAATTACACACTCACAGGAAGAACATACTTGGGTTTGGCGAAGACCCCAACTTTGTCACAAACTAACTCCCAACAAAGCCTTTATTATGGAGTGCAGAACAAAAGGCAGACATTTAAGAGGGGGGCATGGAAGTATATTTAACCCACCCTCAATTGCATAAGCAACAGTATATACCTGTCTGCTATAGGTCCAATCTGCCTTTTATGTCTGAAATCCAGTTGGGCACTATCTTGTGTAGCAAAAAATATTCACTATAATAAACCATTCAAACCCAAATAGCATGGAGTAAATAATTGCAAATTGCAGAATAAATTTCAAATTTTCCAGTTCATGCTTCTGGTTTTGACTTCCAAATATTCAATATATTATTTCTTAAAAGTGTAGTGGTTGAAAATGCTTTGTTACTTAACTGGCTGTATGGGAAGTAAAAACCATTTTTATTTCTGGACTGTAAAGTAGATTATTAGACAATACATTTAATTCATGCCCATCACAAGAAAGATTCCTCTCACTAGTTATTTTTACCTTTTAAGTAAACATAAATTTATAATTATTACTTTAAAATTCAACTTGATAGATAGTAAAATATTATTGCATTGTCATTAGAAGTTCACTTATAAAACTATGCAGTTTGAAAGAAATGGAATTTTAAAACTTATTTTGGGGACGAAAAGAATATATGATTGTAACTTGTTAAAGTTTACATATTTTGAAAGTATAAATTAACATTTTGAAAGAAAGAACCTACAATATCAGCTACTTGTAGAGTGGAAAATGGATTTTTCAGTTGCTCTACCTTGTTTTTCAACATCAATGTATAAAAGATTACACATTAAAAATATGCACTTGACTTATGTTACAATGACTTTGCTGCTCACTTAAATTAAAGCAGATAAACATATTTATGGAAAACAAAACACTGGTTAAATACTAGAAAAATACGTATGTTTTAATAAATATATTTTTTTAATAACAAATTATATCTCTTCATGAAATGCAGTTCTCTAGTATTTTACCAAAAAAAGGTAATAGAAGTAACTGAATAAATAATACAAATTTTTGTGTTGTGTGAACTGAAAAACAATGATTAGTGTTATTAAAACATTATGCAACCTTACATATAGCATTAGAAAGCTCAATCTTATTTTATACTACTGTTTACTACTCTACTGCCTAATGGTCAAATATGTAATCAACTACTCCATTTTTGCAGTCAGCACTTCTAAAAATTTGTATTAATTTATTAACAATTATGTAACCCAGAAGTTTTTTAAGAAAACAGAACAATCAGTTAACATAATTATACATTATAATACATTAGTAGGGTAAACCATCTTGACTTACTTCCTGTAAGCAAAAATAAAATAAAATACATCAGAGTACAAAAATTGTGGAGTATTCTGCAATGAATACTGTAAAATACTGAGAAAGTAGTCATAGGAAAAATGCAGTTTTGCAATCTTGTCTAAATGTCTGTGTGTGAACTTTCTGAACACTTTCAGTTAAGTGGACAAAATTTCAAATACAAGTATGAGCTCCTATTCAAAGCTTTCCATCAACTTTTAAGCGATTTCCAGTAAAATTTTAATATTATTTTGTTTCTAAAGAATACTGTTACAATATGATGGACACATTTTAACACATTATGGGGTAGGCCTAGAGATGGGACTAACATTGTAAACTAATTTTGTAGTATGCACAATCCTTTAAATATTAATTTTCATTTGAAGCTTGTTACAAAGAAAATAAATCCATGTTAAAGGAATGTATATTGAACATGATATGAATCAAATGTCTCAAAAAGGAATGAAATAATAGTCCATTTTATTTTGAAATAAATGCGGCCTATTTTTTATTTGGTTTTGCAGTCTATTAATTAATAATACAATTAACAACACGTTTAAAGGTGTAAATTATTTATTTTAGCTATTAAAATTGGTTGAAGACGTATAAAATACGATCGTTACGCAAGCAGGAACAGGTGACCACGGGCAAGAAAAAAAGGGGAAAAAATATCGCAAGAAGGCTCGTCACTAAAACATGAATATCTCAAATACTATGCGTAGGAATACAAAATGACTCATACATATTTGAGTAGAATGGCAGCGGAATAATACGATACTTTCAGTTTGTTTCTGTGTGAAACGGTTACAAAATAGCGCCCGAAGAAAATCTGGAGTTCGGAATTGTTTTGCTATGTGTGATCGCGTTAGGAAGTCTACTCTACAAAAATGAAACAAGGAAACATTTTAGTATTTTTCAAAACATAAATCCTCCTCAAAATTATGTGAAATTATTAAAATTTAATGAGTCACCTGTTTTCCACATTACTAGTCGCAGGCGATTTTACGTACCTAAAACGATAGATTACCAATAAATTAGGGTAAAATCTTAGTTTAGCGTCGGTTATTATTCCGGAATCGTATAGCAGTAAAAAACAGTAAAACAATGCCAAAATCAGTCACACACTTCCGGAAGTACTGTAAACCATACTTTATTTGGCGTCATCTTTTATTTTTATACAGAATGTTTAAAATTTGGATAGATTTATTTTTGTAATCGTTTTTACATTTTGTAATCATTTTTACTGTTTTCGTAATCTAGATTTTTTTACTTGGCCTAGCAGCTAGATATCTAGCTAGATCTAGATCTAATTAATTAATGGTCGCAAATCCGCTGCAAGCCAAAAACATTAAATTATTACATTTGACTTCATTATATTTAGGCCCTATACTAGATCTATATTTTTTAAATTTTTTGATCTACTAATTGAAATCTACTATTATATTTATTCTTGTTTCCTCTTGTCGATTAAACTTAAAAAATTAAAACATTAATTTACAACAATCGACTTTCAATTTATATTTCAATGGTCAAATAAACCATACCATGGTTTACCTGGTAGTTTACCGTAACTCAACAAACAACATTACCCGATAATTTCCTACGCTAAACTAAGGTTTTACCTAAATTAGATCTATTAGTAGGCCCTATTAATAATTATTAGTTACTAAATTATTAGTAATATTTAAAAAAGTATTAGATCTACCTCTTCTCCTGACTGAAAGTCATCCATGTTTAAAGTTTAAATACTAAGATTCTACTACCCAATCTAGGATTCTAGATTTAAATTAATGAAAGCAGATACTGCCTTTATTTTTAAATAGATCTCTATCTTGTGGAAGGCCAAGATCTAGATCTAGATCTCTAAAATGATACTTTAAATTTCACTCTGAGATTTGTTCTAGACTCGAGGTTCTTAGATCTGAATCTAGATCTCTAGAAGCTAGATAGATCTATCTCGAACTAGTTTCGATGACAACCACCAACTACAAGATCCCGTATGGTCGCGCGAGAATATAGATAATGTTTGTGATTTTGAAAGGGGAGGCTATTAGGTCTAATCTAGAATCTAGGGGTCGGCAACCTTTTGAGACGGAAAAGCCAAAAGTTACAATTTACAAAATTTCCCAGTTTTAAAGAGCCACTAACATTTTTTAATTTTATTTCAATATTATGATATGGCATTTTTATTTCAATATTATGATATTTGATTAGGATTTTACATATGTAGATTCTATACATATACATATACATATACATATACATATACATATACATATACATATACATATACATATACATATACATATACATATACATATACATATGCATATGCATATGCATATGCATATGCATATGCATATGCATATGCATATGCATATGCATATGCATATACATATACATATACATTTACATTTACATTTACATTTACATTTACATTTACATGTACACTTGCACTTGCACTTGCACTTGCACTTGCACTTGCACTTGCACATGCACACGCACACGCACACGCACACGCACATGCACATGCACATGCACATGCACATGCACATGCACATACACATACACATGCACATACACATACACATACACATACACATACACATACACATACACATACACATACACATACACATACACACACACATACACACACACATACACACACACATACACACACATACACACACACATACACATATACATACACACACATACACATATACATACACACACATACACATATACATACACACACATACACATATACATACACACACATTCACATATACATACACACACACACATTCACATATACATACACACACACACATTCACATATACATACACACACACACATTCACATATACATACACACACACACACATATATATATATATATATATATATATATATATATATATATATATATATATATATATATATATATATATATATATATATATAAAGCAATGTATGTTTGTGTGTCTGTCTGTCTGTCTGTCCGTCTGTCCTTTATGGATTACTACACCTCTCATCATATCGCCGTGAAACTTTGGGAAGTTGTTGAGAATATTCCTTGGGAGGTTTCTGAGGAAAAAAAAAATTCAAATTCGCAGGGGTGGCGCCCCGACAGGGCGCGATTTGTTTTTTTCTATATACGGTATATAAAAATAAAAGTCGATTTTGGTTTGGCATCGTTTATCCGATAGCCATGAGACTTTGGGGAGTTCATTATACCACTCTACGGAAGGGTTCTGTAAAAAAATCATTTTTAATTTAGCAAGGGCGTCGCCACGGGAGGGTGCGATTTTTCTCTATGTACGGTATATAAAAATAAAACTCGATTTTGGTCTGACACCGTTAATCCAGTAAGCATGAAACTTTGGTGAGTTCATTAGAACACTCTAATGAAGGGTTCTGCAAAAAAAAAAAATATATTAATTTAGCAAGGGCGGCGCCACGGGAGGGTGCGATTTTTCTCTATATACGGTATAAAAAAAATAAAAGTGAATTACAGTGACACCGTTCACACGATCGCCATTAAACTTTGGGAATATGTTGAGAATATTCCTGGGGAGGTTTCTGCTTAAAATACATTTTCAAATTCGCAGGGGTGGCGCTCCGGTAGGGCGCGATTTGTTTTCTCTCTATATACGGTATATAAAAAAAGAGTCGATTCCAGATTCACACTGTTCATCCAATCGCCGTCAAACTTTAGGGAGTTGATTAGAGCAATTCAGGGAAGGGTTCTGTAAAAAAGTCATTTTTAATATCGCAAGAGCGGCGCCACGGGAGGGTGCGATTTTTCTCTGTATACGGTATATAAAATTAATAAAAGTGAATTACAGTGACATCGTTCATACGATCGCCATCAAACTTTGGGAAGTTGTTGAGAATATTCCTGGGGAGGTTTCTATGAAAATATATATTTCAAATTCACAGGGGTGGCGCCCCGACATGGCGCGATTTGTTTTTTTCTATATACGGTATATAAAATAAAAGTCGATTTTGGTTTGGCATTGTTCATCCGATAGGCATGAAACTTTGGGGAGTTCATTATAAATCTCTAGGGAAGGGTTCTGTAAAAAAAAATCATTTTAATTTCGCAATACCATATAGGGTACAACATTTGTCAATACACGGTTTGGCGCCCAGAGTTTTAGAGCGACTGTGTTGGCACTTGGCATCCGTTAATCGAGCGTCCTGCATAGCGAGTAAGGGGTACTATATATTTAGCGGTAAAACTACAACAGGTTTCTAAAAATAACTTTGTAACGTAAGGAAATCCTTCTGTACAGTTTCGTCACCTTGCCAAAGATGAAAAAAAACATTTTTGAATATGAGGAGCCTACTGTAGAGTTTCGTCACTTTGCGAATGATGCAATAAGCATCTTTTATTAGAAAATCCAGTCAGAAATTGAGATCGAGCATCTAATAATAGACCATTAGTAACGCTAGCGTATTGCATTAGTCACACTGATGTTTAAAACACGTCAAATACTTTTTAGCGCAATTTCCATTCTGGAGAATTGCGTTTATTAACTCGTCATTTCTGGGAATGGAAGGATGAATGAATGAATGAATGTATGGATGAATGTATGGATGAATGTGTGTCCGGGCTTTAAGTCGTATCTCCTCCTCAACGAAGCAATATCGATGACTAGTTCCAAAAGCAATTATGTTAAGCAAGTTACGAGAATGAACATAGGCCATAAAAATTCCGGGTTTCTTTCATGGATTTCCCAGAAAAGCCAAAAAACCTCGAAAAAAGCAGTTTTTGGCCCATATCTCGGCAACCAGACCACTTAGCGACTTGAAACATGTACCAATCGATTCCTGCCATAATTTAGAACAATATTGCCGAAGAAAGTTTTCAAAAATATCCTTTCGTTCGGTCACAAACATTTTTTTTGAATTAATTAAAATTTGGACCAAATTAGTAGGCATTTTTTCCAACCACATCACACGCGTCATCACGTTCAATAGCTGCGCCATCACGTTCACTGGCTGCGTCTTCACGTTCAGTAGCTAGGCGCGCAATGGTTTTTAGTCATGTAACTCTATTGTAAATAAAACATGTAAAATACTGGAAATTTTTAGCGCAATTTCCATTCTGGAGAATTGCGTTTATTAACCCGTCATTTCTGGATGGATGGATGGATGGATGGATGAATGTGTGTCCGCAGCTTTAAGTCGTATCTCCTCCTCAACGAAGCAATATCGATGACTAGTTCCAAAAGCAATTATGTTAAGCAAGTTACGAGGATGAACATAGGCCATAAAAATTCCGGGTTTCTTTCATGGATTTCCCAGAAAAGCCAAAAAATCTCGAAAAAAAGCAGTTTTTGGCCCATATCTCGGCAACCAGACCACTTAGCGACTTGAAACATGTACCAATCGATTCCTGTCATAATTTAGAACAATATTGCCGAAGAAAGTTTTCAAAAATATTCTCTCGTTCGGTCACAAATTTTAAAATTACATAAACACCTACAAACCGATTGTTCTTCTAGCTTGAACGCACCCCAACATTATACGTCAGAGCTATTTTTAGATAACATAAGGAAATTGCGCACAAATGTCACTAGACTTTTTTAATTAACTTGTTTTAATAAAAAACGTTTTAATAACTAACCAATGGTTTTACTAACCCTGCTCTTGATTTACGCTACGACAGAGCTATTTTTAGATAACATAAGGAAATTGCGCTTAAATTGTCACAAGACTTTTTAATTATATGGTTTTACGTGTTAAAGAAAAAAATCCTGTTCATTTGTGTCACTTTAGCGAATGAAGAAATCTGCATCATTATTAACAGGATACTATTTGGCACGATGGCGCCTGTTAGTTTTAAGGGGCCAGGGGTCGTACGCCGCGCCTATGCGGTAGTGTAATCGGGGGGGGGGGGGGTTGGGGGGCCATGAGAGCGCCCCTCTTCGTCTCTGACACATGGGCGGTCACCGAAGTGTGTTCTACCATATTATTTCGGTGAGTGATTAATGTACACTCAATGTTTTCATGCGGTAGTGTAGGTAAACCCGTGTCCCGATATTTATGATCCAAGCGCAGGCATTGTTTACATTTAAATAACTCACATTTAAATTAGACGGTCACGCTTCTAAGAACATATGATTGGTAACGCGTTGATGAAATCCTTCTATTATATTTCGTCAAACTTTCTTTTATCCCCGCGGCAACGCGCGGGAGACGGGTACGCTAGTATATATATATATATATATATATATATATATATATATATATATATATATATATATATATATATATATATATATATATATATATATATATATATATATATATATATATATATATATATATATATATATATATATATATAATATATATAGGCCTATATATATAATAGCCCATGTGCGCACTTCTCTCTCTCTCTCTCTCTCTCTCTGTCGGTCCGCAAAATATTTTCGCCGGATATCACGTCAGAATCGGCAGCGATATATGGATACCTTTATACGGACTTTTGTTGAAAATAATGTTCGTATTGTGTGTTTGTATATATATATATATATATATATATATATATATATATATATATATATATATATATATATATATATATATATATATATATATATATATATATATACATATATACATATATATATATATAAATATATATATATATATATACATACATATGTATATATATATATATATATATATATATATATATATATATATATATATATATATATATATATTATATACATACATATACATATAATTTTTTTGCGGGGTGGCCCATTTTTCCTAGTTCCGCCACTGCTTCCTTGTGTTTATTGTACTGCTGAAGCGTAGCGTAGCGGGGTGGGGGGGGGGGGACACATATGTCCCCGGGCGCCGACCTTAGGGGCGCCAAAATGGGTTGGAAAAATAAATTGAAAGGTTGAGGGGGATGCAAATCGAAAGTTTGAGAAAGGGGGGGGGTGCAAATCGAAATCTCGGGGGGGGGGGGGTGTGCAAATCGAAAGTTTGAGGGGGGTTGCAAATCGAAATCTTGAAGCTAGGCATATGCTTGGTTTTCCTTTCCTTACAGTTTTACATTTAGCACGTTTAGTTTCTTTGTGATATCCACCATGAAGTTAAATGTTTCAATTTGGGATGAACAAGTACTAAACGTTCTAATATAATAGCGAGTGTTTATTGTTTATATTTATCATTATACGTTCAACACCGAGTGTTGCAAAAAAAAATTATGACTTTTATTACTTTTAAAAATAAAATATAAAAAAGCATATTACTGGATGCCTTAAAATATAATATAATGGATATACGAATAATTACTTTAAATATGCCACTACAGTCTATAAGAATAAATGTGGATATAATTACTTTACGATTTACGGATGTCTTTGAAAATTAGTATAACGAATATGAGTATAATTACTTTAAAGATGCCCCCATAGTGCATAGGAATTATATGCCCATACACTATACTAAATAAAGATCACATAGGCCTACTTAATATAAAAACTACATTTATTAAAGGAATATCAATGACTACAGTGGGACTACCCTTCACTGAAGCCCGCTTTTTCAATGTAATTTTTGCGATACGGACAGTATAACGTCAAAACAAGGGAAAGACGATCGAGTATTTGTTAATATTGTTATAGATCTAGGTGAGGTTGGCAAATTAATAAATTAGTCAGCAACAATTTTTTTGCTACTACAAAAACAACCTCCACTGGATGCCTCCTGGGGTGGATGCCCGGGGCTGCCCCCCCCCCTTCCAGACTTTTTTCTCCGAGGAGGGGGGGGGGGGGGGCACTTGAAATTTTCGGGGGCGGTAGACTTTCTTCGGGGGGGGGGGGGGGCGGAGCGGACACTGTTAAAAGTATATATTTTCTATATAAATTATATAAATTTCATTTCTTTCGAGGGAGTGGGGGGGGGGCTGTAGAATTTTTTCGGGGGGGGGGGGGGGCTTTGCCACCCCCGAAGAGATGCCTGGAAAAAACTCTGCCCCCCCCCCTACTCTGCATGCCACTGGCTCAGATAATGCTAACGATGTTTAACTATAGTCAGTTAGATCTATTATTAATATGGATGTGGTATTGTTTTCTCTATCGTTAGCAGGCTACGTCATTTCACCCCCCCCCCCCACTTACCACCAGTGTTTCTTCCAGACTTTTTTCTCCGGGGGGGCACTTGAAATTTTCGGGGGGGGGGGGGCGGTAAACTTTCTTCGGGGGGGCGGACACTGTTAAAAGTATATATTTTCTATATAAATTATATAAATTTCATTTCGTTCGGGGTGGCGGTAAAATTTTTTCGGGGGGGCTTTGCCCCCCCGAAGAGATGCCTGGAAGAAACTCTGCTTACCACTCCAGCTACGTCACTGAGAATCGTATCAGTTATTATTTATTAGAAAAGTAAGTAAGGCGAAATCATTATTTAAATTATTTTCAACTTCCTGTTTCTGAAATAATAATAAATAATATTTAGATAGTCCATTTTGACGGCCGAGGTGGGAGAATTTAAAATCCTTTTGTGACTTTTTAATTTATTAGGCTTATTATTAGGCGTATCGGGTAATCTATCGTTTTAGGTACGTAAAATCGCCCGCGACTAATAATGTGAAAAACAGGTGACTCCTTAAATTTTAATAATTAGATCTAGACTTAGATCTAGAAAACTCCATTTTTTAGCGTATTTTTAATTTTATTCCCCGCTTGACTTTCACCTCCAGTTCAGCGGCGTATTTTATTATAATATAAACATAACCAAAACACACAAAAACGTTAGGAAAACACCGATCTACTTATTTTTTTTATGAATGCGATTTTTTATTAGAAAAGGTAAAAAAACAAAAAAGCATTAGAATAGATCTAGAATCTAGAAGAACTGTTCCAATTAAATATCGTCATCGTGTGATTGTCAGCGGCCAGCGGGAGAAAAATCTTTACACGGTCGCGGGTTCACCTTGAGTTCACATTGACTTTAATTAAAAATTATCAGCATACGTCATAGCTCGGGCAATAGCTGTTTGAAATCGTGTTGGCCTCAGTTTTGGGGTCATTGTAAGTTCATTAATGTTTATTTATAGTATCATGCCTGGGAGATACTTGTAACAATACAAACTTAACCGCCTTGCAATTGTGAGTTACGTTTACGTACTTCACCCATTGCCATGAAAATTCTGACACACGAACATTGCAAATTCAATATTCTAAGTTTTGATTTTAACCTAAATTATCAAAATCTAAAACAAAGTCAGTCTCTTTGTTTTTTTATTCATTTTTATTAATTAGTTAAAACAAAAATACAATACAAATAAATGAATTGTGTTTTCCTAATGTTTTGGTGTGTTTCGGTTGTTATAATAAAATACTCTCAACTGGAGGTAAACAAGCAGCAGAGAAATAAAATACGCTAAAATGGAGTTTTACCTAGGCCTATTTCACATTTTGAGGAGGATTTAAATTTTAGAATCTAGAATTTAGATTTTAGATCTAGATCTATGTTCGTTTTGAAAAATACAAAAATGGGTAGAATCTAGATCTAGATTTGGTAATCTATCGTTTTAGGTACGTAAAAATCGCCCGCAACTAGTAATGTGAAAAACAGGTGACTCTTACATTTTAATAATTATTTCACATTTTGAGGAGGATTTATGTTTTGAAAAATGCAAAAATGTTTCCTTGTTTCATTTATGTACCTGTTTTTAAACAATTGAATTAAAACTTTTCAGTAATAAATGAACACCAGCGATGTTTCCAACAGATGCAACCATGCTCATTTACTACAGCAGCCATCTTGTTTAAGTTTTATTTTTTAAAGCTTATAGCGCGAGATTCAGGGGGAAGCCACTCTATTTTACAAATGGCTGCTGTTTATATAGCAAATCTTGCTCTCAGACACTGCTGTTTAAAGTTAATTTCTTGCCTATATCGATATATTTAGCCATTGATTTAGGTTTATTATTCATTTATCTATAATATTTGACACAAACATATGACAATACTTGTCTATTAAAGCTTTGACAATGAGGTAACGTTTTCGTACATTAATAGCCGCAGGCGATTTTACATACCCAAAACGTTAGATTGCCAACAATACTAAACAGTAATGAGTAAACATATCAATATTATAGGCCAGAAATTAACTTTAAACAGCAGTGTTAAGTGTTTGCGAGCCTAATTTTAATTAGGCCTATCTATCTATAGTCTATAGACCTACTGAATAATTTATTTTTATAAGCAAGACCTATTAGTATTAACTATTAGTTATAGGCCTTATAAAAATAAATTACCCTAGTCATATTGATAAAATCATGCAATAAAATGCAATAAATTATTACTATTAGAATTAGGCATTAGGCCTACTATTGCAATTTTATTTAGTAGTTAGTAACTTAATAGTTAGTAGGCTTAATGACTAATGGCAATGGCTAATAAATTAATAATACTAGGCTAATCGACTAATAACCTACTAATAACTAATAATAGTGATTATAATAGTAGGCCTACACTACTAATCATTATAATTTATAGTAGTAGATCAGATCTAGATCTAGAATTCTAGATAGGCCTACGGGCCTATGCTATAGTTATTAGTAGTTAATAATAGTAGATTCTATTTCTAGCCAGTTAGATTTCTAGGGGCGCCACCCCTGCAAATTTGTGACAAAAAAACTTCGCATTTATTTTTGCTTTTTATATATATAGATAAAGTTGATTTACAACATATAGGGCCTATTGTTTTCAAATTAATTTTTTGAAATGACTACGCATCTCGCAGAGCGTGGCAGTAACGAAGTGACTACGTGTCTCGCAGGTTGGATTTGCCATCTTGTGATTGAAAATGCTTACTTTTTCATTTCCCAATATATCTGGTGTGGTTGAGTTAACAGTGTGCCATCTGTAGCTTAATTGATAGACCTGGAACTCCGAGTTCGAACCCGGGGTTAGCACGACTGATTCGGTTTCGTTTTTACATTTTTTTTCATATTGAAAATATGACGTGTGGTTCTTTTTTTAAATAACCGGGGTTAGCACGACCGATACGGGTTTCTTTTTTATATCTTATTTTTTTCATATTGAAAGTATGACGTGTGATTCTTTTTTTTTTTAAAAATAAAATTTCCAAACATCGTCACTTGCATGATTGCTTGCTTACGTTTACTATCACGTGAGTGAAAAATCCCACCATGGCCCACGGTCGCCGGTGTCACTGTGAGTTCAGCACGCCTAAAGCATAAGTCATAGAATAAACACAAGTTCATGAGATCGTCCGTGTTTTCACTTCTCCCTTCCCCCCTCCCTCCCCCCTCAATTGAAAAGTTTTTTAAGTTCACATAGGATTAATAATATAGACTTAGACCTAATAATATCATGCATGCAAGATAGCTGTAAAACTATTTACTAAATCCGGGCAGTTTGATTTAGCTAGATCGCTGCTAGATCTAGGAATATCATTTGACCCACGACACTCAGTCATGTTACACTGACACTGTACTGTTTTTTTTAGCGCAATTTCCATTCTGGAGAATTGCGTTTATTAACCCGTCATTTATGGATGGATGGATGGATGTCCGCAGCTTTAAGTCGTATCTCCTCCTCAACGAAGCAATATCGAGGACTAGTTCCAAAAGCAAAAATGTTAAGCAAGTTCCGAGGATGATTGTGGGCCAAAAGAATTCCCGGAATTCCTTCCTGGATTTCCCGGAAAAGCCAAAAAACCTTGAAAAAATGCAGTTTTTGGCCCATATCTCGGCAACTAGACCACTTAGCGACTTGAAACATTTACCAATCGATTCCTGCCATAATTTAGAACAATATTGCCAAAGAAAGTTTTCAAAAATATCCTTTCTTTCGGTCACAAAATTTAAAAAAAAATTACATTATACATAATACATTACAGTACTATATAGCAAAATCGGCAGTGGAAGGCGAAGGAGGACGAGGGTAAATCATGTGACCTGGCTGGCTTAGCAGCGAACTGCGTGGGCTGGCTTAGCAGCGAACTGCACGAGACACAGGCGAAAGAGGAGGATTCATGTGACTTGGCTTTGTCCCTGTGTGTGCTTTACGCTACGACAGAGCTATTTTTAGATAACATAAGGAAATTGCGCTTAAATTGTCACTAGACTTTTTAATAACTTGTTTTCACAAGTACTAGACTAGATCTAGATTCTTAGGTGTTGAAATAATACACTTAAACTAAATCTAGATCTATGTCAACATTAAATTGGGCAGTCCTGTTATTTTTTTTAGATCGCCACCTAGGGTAAAGATTAAGCATAACGCGGAGCCAACTGCGCAAATCCGGTGTTACGCGTAATGAGGGGCGAACCACGCAAATGCAGCCTTAATTTTTTGGGTTATAGCTGAAAGTAAGTAGATTTTGAATATGTGGTTGCTTTGTGTTTTGGAAATAACTATGATATTAATTTTAAATTAATAAGAGACAGTGGTACAAACAAAATTTGAAAAATCAGTCAAGAGCTCTGAGCAGGTTTTCGTATGAAAATTATCTCCCTTTGTTCTAATGCTACATACTCCCCTATAGCTAATATTCTTTATATTTTAAAGTACAACTTATTCAAGTTAACAATATTTATATATATATTTTATTTAGGTCATACAATTAAAATAAAACAATAATTCTAATTGAAAAATAGTGCAAATTTCACAAAAAATTATTTTTGATCAAACTCAAAATTACAAAAATAATGAATCTAAACAGAAAATATGTGCTCAAAGTCAACGAAAAATAAAAGTTTTATCAATATAAAATAGAATTCTGTAATTTAAAATGACTCTAAAGTCAGATTCGTGTGGATTTACAAATCAATTCAATTGACAGCTATGGCGTCATTAACAACACAAGTACACTTCTGGTTTCAACCTCTGTTCTCTCCGGTAGTGATAAAATGGCTTTCAAAAATACTTTGCATCAAATAACATGAGGAAAATTAAAACACAGGAGATTGGTGGTTATGGGTGGATGGCTTTTCATTTGCCTAAAAAGTCAGTAATTTTAAATGGATCAAAGCTTCAAACTTACCTAATGTTTGGCTAAAAAATCCATATGCTAAATAGAATCTCAAAAGAAAAACACTATAATGTACAAAATCCATTTGGTTTTCAGAAAAAAACATGAATTTTCTCTAGTAACTTAGTGATTTCTTATGAAATTTTTTTTATCATCACCCGCGGCCACACTGCTAAATTGACATTAGTCTGTATGGGGAGAAAACTCGTTTTTGAGCCTCAAAATCTAGGTAATCCCTGTAGTATAGTAATGTGAAAAAAAGCTGCCTCATTTTTATAGCTTTAAATGAAAGGCTTTACAAGTATATTGAGATATGTTTGTGTCAAATAGAATTATTATAATAGATAACTGAATAATAAACCAAAAGCGATGGCTAAATTTATCAATATAGGCCAGATATTAACTTTAAGCAGCAATTTTTGCAAGCAAGATGAACTATATAAACAGCCTTTATCTGTAAATTAGAGTGGTTTCACTTGAATCTCTAACTATAATTTACCAAAAATAACTTGAAAAATAGTAAATGAGCTTGGTTGCATCGGATGAAAACATCGCATACCTTTATTTATTACTTAAAAGTTTTAATAAAATCGTTTAAAAACAGGTACCTGAGTGAAACTTGAAATTTTTTTGTAACTTTCAAAACATAAATCCTCCTAAAAATGTGAAATAATTACTAAAATTTAATGAGTCACCTTTTTCTCACAATACTAGCTTTGGCTGATTTTATCTACCTATAACAATAGATTACCCTATAATTTACTATAGGCCCTTTAGTATAGTATATACTTATATATACTTGACGATATTTCGAGTCAACCCTTTGTTACCTACCTGGTAGAACGACCCCCAGCCTTGCCTTAACCAACCAGCTGGCTTATAGCATTGAGTTAAATATAAACTCAAAACAATAATATAAAGGAAACACAGCCTGATTAGGGATGTGTGTGATGTCACCCACTGAGGTGTAGTGTTTTTAAGGGCTGACCCTGAGAGATAACACACAAATGATCAATGATGCTTTTGCCCTTTTAGCTCTGAACATGCAGTGTATAAGCACTACAAGATGTCAGCCACCAACCAAAACACTGAACAAGTGCGCATTTGATTGGTTGGCTGCTGACGCTATGAAATCCTCTGGGGACAGCTCGAAATGTATACCACTTCAGTATATACTTAGGCCTACTAGAATACTAAATCTAGTACTAGTAAGTAGGCCTACTACGGGTGTTGGTAAATTGTGAAATTGTGAAGTGGTAAAATAGCCAGAAGAAAATGTGAGACATACCTGCGAAATCACAGGTTAATAGAGAGTCACAGTTTGTGAGAACTTTTTTTGTTTCATGCATTTGGTGGTTTGTTTTTTCACCATATGTGCAAGAAAAAAAGTTATAAACTAAACAAGCATCGTGAATGTTGTATGCATATGCTGTTCTTTTTAAAACAATTTTCTTGATCTAGTTTAGATTTTTTGTTAAATACTCTGAAATTGTTGCTCTTATGATCGCACGCTCATGTTTTCTTGTCAACTGGAGAAAAATCCCATCTTGGTTGACGGTTACTTTGAGTTCATAAAGAGAAAATTATTATAGACTATATTTCTAAAAATCTATGTCTAGATCTATATTTAAAATACTGAACTTTGTCACTCGCTTCTCGCGTTTTCTTGTCTACGCCAGAAAAATACCTCAGTTTGAAGGATCACAGTCAGTGCATACCAAAACTTAAATATAGGTCATTTCTTGGGTCACAGTGACCTCTGTTAACATTTGGAACAGATGTGTACATTTTCTTCAACTTCTGCTATCTGAATTTAGCATTGTTTTTTAGGATCTTAGCACCTTGAGTTTGTAAACTAGCAAGAACTGCTAACCTCTTGTACTACTTTATTTGCTTTTCCCCTTTTATTGGAGAAACTTAGTTTCAGATGCCCACATCATCTTGTCGTTTTGACCCTGTTGTTTACCATATCAGGGTAGCATCAACTGCAGCATTGTCTTTTGAATGTTCCATCTTGAAGCATGTTGTAGCCCATAATTGGCAATGTGGATTTTTATGGTTTATCTGTTTCTTTTTCTGTCTGCCCTTTACAAACACATATAGGTCCAAGACAGCTGGGAAATGTGGGAACTGGCCAGCCAATGTGCATTGTCCACACTTCGGGTATTGACCTAAGAAGTTACACACACATGGAAACATTTTCCATACTTTTAGGCCTATATACATATGGATGTACAAATATTCCCCCTCCCCCACCATGTCCTAAACGTTACACACATTTCCAATAACAAATAAAAACAAGCATTCATTGCAGTAATCTGAAATATTCTATTTTAATTTTGCAGCTCTAATTATTTCAAAATAATGCAGAAACTATCATCAAAATTGCTCAAGCAGCAAACTGTTTTGTGTGATCATGCACTTTCTGAAAAAAATGATATTAAACCATTAGAAGGAAAAAGAAGACTGGGACGATTTCCAATTGTCTCAACATCAGTAATTGTCAAAAAACATAATGATTCAGCCACTTTCAATAAGGTAAATATACACTTAATTATAATCAAAAAAGGGCTTTTTTTTAGTAAAATTATTTTTTTGTCGCATATTATTTATTTTAAATGATATAATAACAGAATATGCAAGTAGCCTACATAATTAAAAAACAAACTAACAAACAAATAAACTTAGACATTTTGTACATTTTTATTATTTCTCATAGTATATTATAAAACATATTATGATAAATTAAGTAAGTACATAGTTATATCAAATTCACATCCAATCCTTAATTTTCACTCTAAACAGTTATTTATTTTTCTCAAACTATTTTGTTGTGTTAATTCTGTTGAAATTGGTTTCAGTCTTGTGCAGTTCTCTCATCTCAGTTGTACCATGTATGTGTCATATTAGTTGTTATATTTGAGTATTAAATTGAGATTGCACTCTAACAGAGATCAAAACAGATATAGTATAGGCCTATTTAAAGACAATAATACAATGTGCGATTAGGTAAAGGGAATTATGGTAGATTAATGAGAAGTTGTCCTACACAATTTTTATCAGATTCATTACATAGTAAAGGTACTTAATGAACCTTGACCTTATCTTTTTTTCAAGTTTTTAGTTAGTTTAGTTTGTTCCTTTGTGGCCACTAAGGCTAAATTCTAATTTTTATTTTAGCATCTGGTGTCTGCTGATTCATCAACTACAGGAATTGAAAATAATACATTTTCTGTTTCAATGGATTTTGCTCTTGTCCAGGAGGTCGAGAAAGTAGAAGCAGCATTGGAAGTAAAAGAAAATCAACTGAGTATATGTACTGGTATTGAGACTGTGGAGCTAAAAAACAGCTTAGATATTGTCTCATCCCAACAAGAAGCACACTCAGTCATTCAACCTTATTTCCCACACATTGTCAAAGAGACTAATTTGAGTAAACGTAAACACATTAAATCCTGTGACAGAATTCTTTCACAAAAAGAATCAAAAACTACTCAACAAACTTCTAGAAAAACATCTCTGCTTTCAGAAAACTTCAGTCCTAGCAATAGTCCAGTAGAAAAAAAGCCTAAAACAAAATTTAACCCTGGACATCTTCTAAACTGTTCTAGTTCTAGTGAAAAAAGAAAGCGATTTTTATTTCAAACTCCTGAACATCAAGTTTTGAAGCATGCTTCTACGTTTAATAAGAAAAATGTTAAAAAATCTTTTGCTAATAAAGACGTGGGATTGATTGATATTAGCTATTCACCACTGTGTTATACTATTAAAAAAAACAAAGAAGAAGAATTTAGTGATACAAAAAGTTCACAAAATGTGGCAATGGAATGTTTTATCTCCACACCAAAAAGTCATAAAGTAGGGTGTTCATCCTCTAAAAGTTTTAAAAAACATCAGAATAATATACATCCTAAGCACACCACTTCCACCAGTTATGTCAAGAAAATGAAAGACCATGAACCAGATGCATTTTCAAGTATTAAAAATACAGCACACGGCCATCCTCATGTGACAAGTTCACCGCATCAAACAAAAATTGTTACTAAAACAAACGGTGCTCAAATAAATTCTGTTTTCCATCAAAGAAATGAATCATTAAATGAAACTGACTCACCCAAGCTAATAGGTATTATAAAATTTCTAATTTTTACTACATAATTTTAGTTATTTCATAGTTATAATGATGGTTATGTTTTTTCTTTTTTGTAATCGAAGGATGGAGGAAACAGTGTAATCATGCAAAAAATTTAAATAGAGATTTTTCACAAATCTCAACGTTTTACATCTCCCTGAGTCTCTTGGCAATTTTGTATGTATGTGTGTGTGTGTCTGTCTGTCTATGTCTTTCTGTGAACACGATAACTTGAGTAATCTTTACAGCTAGATTGATTAAATTCCATCTCTAAGTATCATATTAAATTTGTAATTCTGTGACAACATTTTAGCGATTTCCACTAAAGCCAGAAGTGGAACTTATTCTACATCCGGATTTTCAAAACCCTATAATTTAAGGACTGTTTCTGCTAGATAGACGAAATAATGATACACTACTATTTAAATTAAATAACTATAAAGAAAAGCGTGGGCCCTTTCATAGGGCGTTCATTGATAGGTGTACATTCTATAACATAATACAACACCTATGTTAAATTTTCATTATTGAGTGCCCAGGCATACCATCATATAATAAAATTACACCAAATTAAAAAAATTACTTTTTAGTGCTTTTTTTTCTTTTGTGCTTTTTTTGGTGTGATTTGTCAATACAATAAAAGCCTATTTCCTTAAAAATTTTAAGTGAGATTGATTTAAAAGTAATTTTTCTAGCAAGGTTTGTCTATTTTAATATGAGACTGATATGTGCAGCACAAATATTAAATATTTTATAACATTTTGAATTTATTGCAATTTAAAAAAAAAATGTTTATCATTAAAAAATTTTTTTTAAGTATCTTTTAGTCACTTGAACCTATCAGAAGAAAAAAGACATCTCAGTTCTTGGGGTTTGCCAGAGCCTGTACTACAAGCTTATAAAAACCAAGGAGTGACTACCATGTTTGAATGGCAAACTGAATGTCTGCTTACTGACAATGTTCTTGGTATTTATATTATATGCATTAGAATCATAAATTTATTTAAAGTAAAATTCTGTTACTAATACCATGCTTGTAGTTGTTGCTATATTTAGATAAGCTGCATACTTGTGCTTCTCTAGTGTGAAAATCTAAAATGTAATTTTTGGAAGACAGAAAATAAAGGCACAAATTAAGTTTTTTGAGTAATCTTTGAGAGAAAAAAAGTAATTTTTCATAATGAGATTTTGAAAAGAGTTAAAGGGAGAAAACAAGTTGAAATACTTCAGCTATTTACTTTTAAATAGCCTCCCTCATCATACACTAAATCTTTTAATTAATTCATTTTATTCTTATTTAAGTTTAAATCTAATTTAAACATCACATTTAAACTAGCAACAAAATCAGCAGGAATTAAAAAAAAAATTATTGATGTATAAGATAACACTAATAATTACTAGAAAACTCAGTGCTTACATATCAGAAAATAATATTGTATTAACATCTAATCTAATTTGACCATGTTCCCTTATGTAACAATAATGAAGGTAATTATAAACTTAAATTAGCAAAAGTAAGTAGGGTTATATCCTTTTAAATTATCTCCTCTACCATTAATAATTATCATTTAAATAATTTTTAAAAACCCTCGTTTTCTGATTGAACTAAGCCAGAAGAGGGAAAGTATTGAACCTTGTTTTTATCAAATTACAATTACTATGTTATGTCCCTTTTTTGTACAAATCAATAGGAGTCGAAAATGATCAATAAAATTTTTCCATGGATCAATTTAGTAATAATAATAATTGAATATTGTATTGTCATCGGAAACAAAGCTTCCCTGAAAATTTCAACGCGCTAGCTAACTGGGAAGTGCCCGAAATTTTGATAGCAAGATTTGATGGAAAGACAAACAAACAAACAAACAGACGCGAAAGCAAGTTAAAGAAATTGTGGGAAAAAAATTAACAATTTTTAAAAATAATTTTATTCACCCTACTATTATTAATTTGTATCAACTATTTTCTATTAGTATGAGAAAGAATAACATTTGATATTGAGCAGCATAAAATAATATGTTTTAAAAACATGCATATATCCAATATTTTCTTCATGTTCTGTTGTTGACTTATTGCTATGTCAAAACCTGGAACTTAGGCGACATACAAAAAATTAAAGCAGTATTTATTAGAAACAAATCTGTACATTTTGTAATTAGATGACATGATAGTGCTTTTTTGTTAACTATTTTAGGTTTATTGGTGCTACATTTTTAGAGAAGAGACTTAATATCTACAAAGTATTGAATAACTAAATTGTGCTACAGCAATGATAGGTGTTAAGTGTGGGAACTACAAACTTAGAGATTTCTATGAGAAAAAAGTGAACAATCTCCAGCATAGTGCCAATATAAGTCCTTGGCTAACACACTACCGAGCAGCTTATATTATACATTTGTGATTTTTATGTTAATGAAGTTAATGGTAATATTTGTTATTTACAGGAGGAGATAACATTATTTATTCTGCCCCCACAAGTGCTGGAAAAACTCTTGTCGCAGAACTGCTTGTCTTGAAAAGAGTAATAGAAACCAGAAAGAAAGCTTTAATTGTTCTTCCTTTCATTTCAGTTGCTAGAGAAAAAATGTACTCACTTCAGGTACAAGATACTCTTTTAATGCTTTCAATCTTTAACAACTTTTATCTTGCATGCTTATTAGCTCAAAATACAACTATTGTATTTTAAAATTATATAATAGCGCCTCTACCAAGATGCTGGAATTCAAGTTGGAGGTTTTATGGGAAGCTATTCATCTGCCGGAGGGTTTTCTAGTCTTGATGTAGCTGTATGTACTATAGAGAAGGGCAATTCAATTATCAATAAGCTAATGGAAGATGGACAACTAGGAGAATTAGGTGAACTTAAAAAAAGAATTATATTTTAATATATCCTTACTACTTTAATTACTCTTTTTTTTAACCACACAATATAATTACATGCATAAAATGTGTAGAACATGTTTTTTTTTTATTCTAAAAAATATCTCACTTTTATTGTAGGTGCCATAGTTGTGGATGAGCTTCACATGGTTGGTGACTCACATCGTGGATATTTATTGGAGCTGATGCTTACCAAGTTGACCTATGTAGCACACAAGTAAATTTGTCTATATATGCTCTAATATATAAAGTTAAATTAAGTTTGTGCCAGCAAACTGCGGATTCCAAAGAGATATAAAAAATTAATATATTATTATCGTTATAGTGTAGTACGGTTAAAGTGCTTATCATCTAAATTAATTATTTTAAAAATTAATACTGAAGGTGTTGTAAAACTTTAATAGAGTCAGCTGGCTATTTTTCTAACAGAAAACACTCAAGAAATATTTTTTTCACCATAAAAAAACTGAAAATTTGAAAAAAATATTTCTAGCGGTTTTTCTCTTACAAAAATTAGCCAGCTGACTCTAGTAGTGTTAATACAAGAAGGATCGATGATTATAAAGCCATTACATATGTTACTTTATGAAATTTTGGAACTCCACAAAAGGTAGTTATGTCCAAGATGGCTGCCAGTGCTATGGCAACAGTATTTTCAGAAGAGTCCCAGATACATGCAAATATTTTCCCTTAGGTACCCTAACTTATACATACACAAATAAATAAGAAAGGCAAATTAATTAAAAAGGTTTTTTTCCCGTTTTTTTCCGGAGCCTACCCCCTTAAAATGTCTTAAATTTAAATAATTTAATTGATTTTTTTCTTTTATTTAAGACATAGTTATACAAGTAATAGAGTGCAAATAATTGGAATGAGTGCAACACTGCCAAACCTCTCTCTGTTGGCTAAATGGCTTAAAGCTTCACTATATTTTACTGACTTTCGACCTGTGCCCCTAACTGAGTACATTAAAGTGGATAACAAAATACTTGATGCTGAATTATTGATCAAACGAGAAATACCAGCGCTTCTATCTTTTCCTGATGATCTGGATCATGTAATTGCTCTGAGTTTAGAAACTGTATTAGATGGACATGCAGTATTAATATTTTGTCCCACCAAAGTGTGGTGTGAAAACTTGTGTGAGACAATAGCCAGAAGATTTTATGCACTAATTCATGAAAATAAACACACAAAAATGAAGGGTATGTATCTTTCTTGTATTAGATTTTTGTATCATACTATTGTTTATTATAATTTAAGTGTGTGTGTATGTGTATATGTATATATATATATATATATATATATATATATATATATATATATATATATATATATATATATATATATATATATATATATATATATATATATATATATATATATATATATATATATATGTTACGGTCAAAGCTCGAATTGCGGCCAAAGCGCGGATTGGCCGGCCAAAGCGCGTTTTGGCCGGCTCTCTTTGCCAGAGCCCGAAGAACTTAATACGTATTTCGTACATTGGCCGGCCAATGCGCGCACTGGTCAGGACGTACTGGCCAAAGTCCGAAGCGCTTAAACTTGACAGCATATTTTGTACATTGGCTGGCCAATGCGTGCACTGGCCGGGATGTCCTGGCCAATGTTCTATCTAGACTAATTTGTGAGCGCGTTTTCATTATTGTGGGTGCGGTTTCATTTTGAGTAACGTATTGTTTAGCTCTTGTTTGTATAGCATTCTATATGTAAGGCGACATGGATCAAAAGGGCCGTCAGACCATGAGACAGACATAGCAGATGACTGCCAAAATAAATAATCCTAATCCTAATGGAAAAGAATTTGTGAATCAAGTTATTTCTGAACTAAAGAACATGTGGCCTGAACTTAAACTAGTTCACAGAAAACCAAGGCATAGCCAAAGCCAATGTTCAGTATAACTTGCCAATTAAGATGTTCAAAACATGATGATGACATGGATGTAGACAGATGAATCAGCTCATTGGGCTGAGAGTTATGAAAAACCGTAAATTTCACCAAGGAATCCAACAATTGCCATTCGAAGCCTTGTTTGGATGCAAAGCAAAAGTGGGACTTAGCACTTCTAATCTACCAAGAGCTTCTCTCGATAAGTTAGCTACTGAGAAAGATCTTGAGAACATTGAACAAGAAATGGAGGTTGCCATAAATGCAACAACATCCTCAGCTAACACATCTACTGCCGTGGCGCAACGTCAAGACCAGCTGCGTGACAATAATAAGGTCAACAGATTATGTTTGTGAAAAATATTGAAGTTCGGCCCTTTCTTGTGGATCCTGTGGCAACGATGTCCATGCAATTTAAACAACTATAAGCTAGAAGTGAGTTTTCAATTCTTCACGAAAAACTGCTCTCATTGTCACTTGTTGGCACTGAGGAAAATCACTACGAAGCATCGCATCTTCACAATCACTGACCGGCGGCCAAGACTACATTTACTGCAATTGCACAACCTAGTGCACAACAAATCGCTCCAAGTGTAAAAATAACAATGTAATTCCAAATAATAATCAACAAAGACTTAATTTGTATGATTCTTACGGTATAAAAAAAACTAAATCTGCTCATGATCTTCTAATCTGGACTTATATATATTATATATTATATATTATATATATATATATATATATATATATATATATATATATATATATATATATATATATATATATATATATATATATATATATATATATATATATATATACATATATATATAAGGTTGACCTGTTTAGGTTTGCTACTAGAGCCTTAGGACTCACCATTTTCTTAGATTCAGCATAAAATTGGATACAAATATAGAATAACCTATTTTTAATTTGTAAACACAATTAAGATTGTAGAAAGCTCTAATAAATTATCAAATAACAAAATGGGTTTAATACAATAAAAATGCTGAGCAGATATTTTTATTTACCAACTTTTATAAGCTTTCTCATAAACTTAGGTATTATTCTTATTACTCTTCGTGAGTATATTATAATGGTGTTTTAGATATGAATAAAAAAAAAACCTTGTAAGTTTTCAAAGATAATGATGAGCATTATGCATTTAAAAAAAAATTAAGATAAGAAACAAAGTTTTTGGCTGATTACCCTTTTAAATTATTGCTATGATACTGCTTCCCCTCTATAATCAACTCATACACAATTCAGAGAAAAACATTTAACAGCACATTAGTGTACTATGCTGTATGGGCTAAGGGTTTGATCATAACAAGAATTACTGTTTAGAAAATTTATTGACTGAGGCTTGACACACTTCAACTTTAATGAAAGTTAACTAAGTAAAGTAGTCAAAACTACACAGTAGAAAGAAAGAGAATGGAAACTTACAATGAAAAAATTGCACGAGCCAATTATAAAATAGAACTGAGCTAATCACTCTAACTCATTGTGATGACTGCCATGGCTTTATTTTTTTAAAAATAATTCTGTTGGCATCTTTGTTACATTTTAAACTGTTGACATCCACATTCAATTCAACTGTTGTTTATTCAAACTGAATCTAATGTAGAACATCAAAACATATGTTTGGTAATTAATTGGAGGGTTAATATTCAGTAAATAAACTCATTTAATAATCATAGATGTAAATTTAAATGTAGTTATTAATCTAGCTCTAAATCTACCAGTTATTCAAAGAGAAGGAATTAAATAAAAACAAAACTAGAACATATGAAAACTGAATTATAATACCGCATTTACACTTACGGCATGTATACTATACATTTCTAGAACACAAAGCCAGCCAAAAGTTATTTTTATCTGTAACAATTTTCTCCACAGAACATGTATACTTTAGCATACACACTTACAGAACATGTTATAGAACATTATATAGTATAGGCCCAGACAATTAAAATAAAGAGTAATCAAAGTAAAAAAAAAACGTAGATAGTGGGCTCACAACTTCATTTTTTAAAAAAGGAAAATGGTATAGCCACGGTGCTTGCGATTCAACAATGAATTATCTAAAACTTAGAGAGCATGCAAGATTTTCTAAATTTTATTGGAGTGCCAGCAAATGGAGTTAGACAGTTTTTATAAATATAATGCTATGTATAATAGCACAGGTCGTAGACATTACCCACATGTTAATACCCCTCTCTCCCATCACGTATACAATCACCCCTTCCCACCCCATCACCATGGTAGCCATTCCCCAGCTTCTTTGCTTGTCTATATCCTTCAGAAACAGCTTCGGATGAACAGGGCTAAATATTTGTTTGCTGAAAGGCTCGATTTCTTTGAAAACTTGCATCTGCAAGTTCATTAAACATATTGAGACCGCGTTACAATTATACTGAGTCTATTATTAAGAAAAAATAGTTCTAGTTTTTAGAGTAGGGCCTATGTGACACTCATTCCCCCTCCCCCACCTCCTTCCTTTCTTTATGTTAATTTTGTCCCATTCTAAACCTAAATAATTAGCCTATGACTTTTTTATCTGCCTGTTTTTATAGTCAGTTGATTATGTGCGATCTCACGAGCACATTCAGGTGGGCCTAAAGATTTATTCATGTCAGAGGGAAACTGAAAATAAGTTGATACACTTAAAACAAAATATTGGTCAAGGAAAAATTTGAGTTACGTTTGGTTGAATTATATTTTTTAATTAATTATTATTTTCGTAATTAATACCTAAATTGGTTTTAATGCCTTAGCCATTACATTTTAAAAAAAATTAAAACGTGTTTGGGATTTAATTAAAGAAATAATCAGTAATTATAAAAATGTAATTTTTAGTAGGTCCTAGAGAAGTTATAAATTATGAAATCGTGGGCTCAGTTTAGCCTATTTAATTTTGCAATCAGCTGGGACCCTGGGCTTAGGATGCGCTTACTACTTTTCCATGCATGCGCACTCATATGAAAATTCAGAACATGTCCTAAGTTTTTGCTCAGCAAGCGAAGAAAAAAATTTGACCCAGAACATATAAAGGGGCGTGGTTTTGTGCCCTGCGACTCAGAAGATATTCCATATACTCGTAACATGTTTAGTATACACTTTAATAGGTCAAGTTTAGTATACATGTCGTAAGTATAAACGCAGTGTAACTGATATCTGTCACAATTTTAGTGTTACACAATTTTTAGCATAATCTAGTCTAGGTATAGAACGCTGGCTTGTAAACTTAAATGTGTGAGATTGGTACAGGGCTGATAGCCATACATCTTCACCTGACAACTAAAATGCTTTAAAAAAGAAAAGTCTGAAAAGCCTGGTGGAAACAAAAAGATCACAAAACTTTAAGGAGGTGATAAGAATACTCCTGAAAAGGTTTCTGTGAACAAAATAATTATAATTTGATATGGGTGGCGCCTGGTAGGATGTGATTTTTGTCCCATAATGATTTGGCGCCCAGAGTTCCAGAGCAGCTATGTTAACACTTGGCATCAGTTAATTGTGCTTCCTGCATAATGGGTAAGGAGCGCTACTATATTCAGCATTAAACTTTTAAAATTTCAACAGGCGAAAGAGCCGGCGCACCGTAGAGTACACGATCCGAAGCGCCCCAGGCTCCCCTTCAAGCATTATGGCGCCTAAGTTCATTTTTAAAAAAAAGGCTATACACTAAAGACATGATGGGCAACAATAATCGTTGACTTTATTGAACCAGGCGCAAACTCTGTAGGGTTCGATTTGGCACCGTGCGTTTTCCTCTGAGTGCAAAGGCGCCTGCGTTCATTCTAAACAGTGCGATAGACAATTGATAAGATGGGGCGTTACAGTCGCTCACTAAATTGAATCAAGTGTGTCCGCCAGTGCCCTGGTAGGGTGCGATTTAGCTGAGAACAAAAATTTCAGTTTCCGCCCCCAAAGGCTCACATGGGCCGCTGAGGGCCCGGTAATAATTTTTTTTTTTGAATAATCAGATAAATTAACCAAGGTTAGATTATTAACTGGGTTGTTTCCTTTTGTTCATAAAAAAATCCAAACAATTCCAAAGCCTACAGTTCTCGAAAAAATGAAAATATTTCCATAAAATATTAAAGATTTGGAGGGCAGCTCAAATCTAAAAATAAAAATCACACTTTTAAAAATAACTTTGTAATGCAAGGCGATCTTCCTGTACTGTTTCGTCACTTAGCAAATGATGCAATTAGCATCTATTTTTAGAAGATCCAATCAGAAATTGAGATCGAGCATCTAATAATACACCATTAGTAATGCTAACTAATTGCCTCAGTCACACTGATGTTTATAACACATCAAATAATATTTTTTTCATGTTAAAGAAAAAATCCTGTTGATTTGTGTCTTTAGCGAATGACGCAATCTGCATCATTGTTTCAGGAAGCTATTTGGTGCTCTGGGTTAATTAAATGGCGCCTTTGTTAGTTTTAAGAAGCCAGGGTCTGTATGTGGCGCCTCTTCGGGAGTGTAAACGTAGACTCCAGAGAGAGCCCCTCTACATCCCTAGCACATGGATGGTCACTGAAGTGTGTTCTACCTCATTATTTCAGTAAATGATTACACTCAAGGTTTTCATGCGGTAGGGTAGGTAAACCTGTGTCCTGATATTTATGATCAAAGCGCAGGCAATGCTTACATTTGAATAAATCAGTTTTAGAAAATAAGGTCATGCATCTGAGAACATAGGATTTGTAACACATTGATTAAACCCTTCTTATATATTTCATCAGACTTTCTTCTATCCCCGCGGCAGTACTAGTACTGGCACACTAGTACATTTATATAACTATATATATATATATATATATATATATATATATATATATATATATATATATATATATATATATATATATATATATGTATATATATATATATGTATATATATATATATGTATATATATATATATGTATATATATATGTATATATATAGATCTATGAATATATATATATATATATACTAGCTGCAGTAAATCTTTTTTAAATGTACCTGCTTGGGAACAGAACAAAACTAATCACAACACAAACACGACACAACCACAAAAGAAAGCACAAACACAATGCAAACACAAACGCAACACACAAACACAAAAGAAAAAACAAACACAAATAAAAACACAAATGAAAACACCAACACAATGCAAACACAAATGCAAAAAACACGAATGAAAAAGCAAACACAACACTCATAATATAAACACAACTTAAATGCAAACATAAATAGATAGTGTTCACAGTTTAGCCCATGGCGCCAAATCACACCCTTTCCAAGCGCCAGCGGATGAGCCTGATTTAGTGAATGACTATAAGCCCCCAGCTTGTGAGCAAATGGAAACTTAGATTAATAATTAGTAAACAGTACGTTCAGTGTATAACATAAATAAAAGGCAGTATTTAAAATATCTGTGTTTTACCCAACATATTGCACTCTATCAATTCATGCTTTTTTACAGTAAGTTAAATTTTAAAAATTTACAATAGAGTTTTATGACTAAAACCATTGCACACCTAATGAACGTGATGGCACGTCTATAACAGTGCGAAATAGTTGATTAAAAATTATAATTAGTAAACAGGACGTTTAGTGAATAAAATAAATAAAACATACCCTTTTATCAATCCATGTTTATTATAATATTCCAACAATAATGTCCTCTTACAATAATGTCCTCTGCAGATTTGCATTCACATTTTGCTAATTCTATTATTCCAACAATAATTCTGTCTTGGAGTTTTTGCATTCACATTTTTGTATTAGCGTGAGTTAAATTTATTTTTAAATTACCCCCCCTTGGCAAAATAACAAAACAGTTAATTAGTTAATTAATTAATTCGACCCTACATTATTAAAATGTATCCACTTTTTCTGGGAATCAAAACTAAAATGTTATTTGACATTGGTCAGTTTAGCAATATGTTTTAGCAATTTGTGTGAATTTAATATTTTCCTTCCGTTATGCAAAAGAGTAAAAACAGTGGCAACTATGAAATACATTTAAGTCGTTATATAAAGAAACCCTTCTCTTTAACTTATAATAAGACACTGCGATGCAACAAGTAAAAAGCAAGACACAGGATGTGTTTACTTTAACGAGCCGGCCCGCGGCATAACATACACCACTATTTAGTTGTTGTTTTTTCTACTTTTCAGTAATTCATAATTTGTGAATTCGACAGTACCAACGCTGTCACTGAAAATATTTCTTTAAAACACTATAAGTAGCTCGTTAAGGACGATACCCCCCCCTCCTCCCCCCCTCCGTTAAAGTAAACTTCACTTAAGGACCATAACCCCCCCCCCCCCCTTGAAAGCAGCCTCCTCTTAGTTATTTCTTAGTTACCTCCTGTAAGTTTAAAATTGAACTAAATTATCTGCCCCTAATAGAAACCCGGCTCCACGGCTCTACGGTTTGTAAACATTTAGCTTTATAAACATTTAGAGTGAACACCGCTCACCAGACAATGTTGGGGTGGGGTGGGGGGTGGTAGTGATAGTGATAGTGATAGAGAGAAAGAGAAAGAGAGGGGACTGCAAGGAGGCGCTTGCAGCTTGTTTTCTAACGGCTCCCAGAAGAGAATTATATATATAGATAGTTCCAAAATCTATAGCCATGACTGAAGGAAGGACCCACAATCACCAGCATTATGTATATATGTATGTATGTATGTATGTATATATAGATGTATGTATATATATATATATAGGCCTATATGTGTTTGTGTATATATATATGTATGTATATGTATGTATGTGTATATATATGTTTGTATGTCTATATATATGTATGTATACATATATATATGTATGTTTATATATATATATATATATATATATATGTATGTGTTTATATATATATATATGTATGTGTATATATATATATATATATATATATATATATATATATATATATATATATGTATATGTATATATATGAATCAATGTGTATATATATGTACTGTATCTATGTGTATATATATGTATGTATACATATATATATATATATATGTATGTTTATATATATATATATATAATATAAATATATATTTATTTATCAGACATGCCTACCGTCCCGCCAAAATCGGAACGGTCCCGCATTTTTCACCTAAAAAAGTAATTTGTTCAGTCATTCCGATTTCGACTCGGTTTCGATTTTTTTGAAAAAAAAAATTAATAAAGAAAGGTATTAAAGTAAATTGAAAAAAAGGCAGTAAAAAGCTATTATCTCCCTTAGGCACACGTTTCAGTTTCCTAGTTTACTTACAATATTTACAAGTATCATCTAATACTAGATCTAGTTAGTAGTATATCGATTACTACTAGATCTAGAATTGTAACTAGAACTACTAGTAGATACTGAAATAGTGAATACTGATCTATCTTGTAAGTTGTAACTTAACTAGTAACTACTATTATGAAGAACTTAGTAAGTAGTAACTATGAGTTCTATTAGGTAGATCAAGGGTCTTTGCTCGTAACTTATATTATATATTACATATGATGAACCCTTCAGCATTTGTTATTCATATAGCCTAGAACATAGCAAGACATAAATAATCAAATCAATAAAGTTATGTCAAAAATATGATTTTTATTCTGGGGGGGGGGGGGGGGGGGGCTCAGGTTACTGGTTAATTTATTTTTTAAAAATGTAAGCTGACATTAAGCACTATTTTAAATGTATCCTAGAGACTAGTTATATAGGACTAGAAGCCTACTAATGTCATTTGAGTAATTTTTAATTAATTATTTTTATTTTTGACTTAGTAAAGTTGCGTCCACGTGTATATTCCTCTTTTTGGGTTCAAATTCCTCTTTTTAGGCATAACTCTTCCTACTTTTGGCTGACAGGGGTAGGCCTGACTGATATATATATATATATATATATATATATATATATATATATATATATATATATATATAAACATTTACCCATTTTTTTATTTTACAGAAAATGTTTTGAATCTCATAACAAATGGTAAATTATTAAATTTGGACCAAGACAACTTAAAAGAGACTGTAGAGCAGTTAAAGAGGTGTCCTGTTGGTGCAGATCCTGTACTAGCTAGGTGTATTCTCAATGGTGTGGCTTATCATCATGCAGGTGTGGCATTGTATTTTATATATCTGCTGACATAATTTATGTGAAACACGTTGTGTTTTCGTTTGATACATCTCAAACTTTGATAATTCCCACAAATGCAAGTTCTTTGTTTTTTTACTTTTAGTAATCTCAGATCTTTTTCTTCCCTGGGTGTTCTTTGAATGCAACATTTTCATTGTGTAAACTTACTTCCTTTCTAAAATATGCCCCACATATAACATTATCCTCTGTTAATTATTTCCTCATTTCTCTTTCTCTGCCATCTTGTGTGTTTAAAAAAATAAAAAGCAAGTAGTGCTGTGTGATATGCTTGGTTTAATAAGGAGATATTTATGTTTTTTTTTTTGCTAAATGCTAAACCGAAAAGTCTCGAGTTTGAACCCTCGGGTAGATGGGTCTCGTTAACTGGGGACAGCCACTCCTCTAGGAGAGACAACTCCAAAATCAAACAACTGCTGCCTTGTAGTTTGTTCTTGGTTGGACAAAGGCTATGGAAGCAAATCCAAAAAGAAAAGCAGGCTGAAATTAGAGTCAACAGCCTCAATGGCGCATAACCAGATGACACGTATCCTTAATTGTGATGGAAGCGTGGTCGAGTTGGCAGCAGTTCATGGTTGATAAATTTGAAAAAGTCTTGAGTTCAACCCCCCCCCCCTGGCAGATAAGGCTCAATCCCTTCCAACCCTAATAAATTAAGAACGAAGAAGAAGAAGAAAAAGTTGGAATAATATAATTAGCAAAATGTGAATGCAAATTCTGCGGACGTACAATAGGACACTATTGTTGGTATAATATAATTAGCATGGATAGAGAAAGTGCAGTATGGTAGGTAAAACACGGATATTTTTAATACTGCCTTTATTTATTTTATACAATGAGACTGTTTACTAATTATTTTTTAAAATCAATAACAGTTTAGAAGGCATTCCTAAATGTCCCCTATGTTTACATTTATTTTTTGGTTTGCGGACAAGCTGGGTTTTTTATAGTAGTTCACTAAATTGAATCGGCGCATCCGCCGGCGCCCGCGCAGTGTTCGATTTTGTGCTATGGGCTATCCTGTGAGCGCTGTGGATTTGCGTTGTGTTTTCATTTGTGTTGTGTTTGTGTTTGCATTGTGTTTGTGTTTTCTTTTGTGTTTGTGTTTAGTTTTGTTCTGTTCCATAGTTGGTACATTTATATATATAGCAATGTATGTCTTTTTGCCTGGTTTTTGTCTTTTGTGCATTACTACTCCTTTTATCGGATCATCATTAAACTTTGGGAAGTTGTTGAGAATACTCCTGGGTAGGTTTCTGTTAAATTTTTTTTTCAAATTTGCAGGGGTGGTGCCCCAGCAGGTTGCGATTTGATTGTTTGCTATACACGGTATATAAAAATAAAAGTCGATTGAGGTTAGACACTGTTCATACAATCGGCATGAAACTTTAGGGATTTGATAAGAACACCCCAGAGAAGGTTTCTACAAAAAATCTTTATTTAATTTGGCAAGTTTCTCTCCATAGTTCAATAGTCTTTCTTGTAACAACTGAAAAATTTAGGCAAACTTTATTCCATCTTAAATATATGTATTTTGATTACTTATTTCAGGGTCATTATAAAATGAATAAATATTTTGATTACATAAATTATATGAATCTCCAAGCCTTTATAATATGAAACCCTTAGAAAATGCAGATAAAAATTCTTTCTGAATAAGGTCTCATAATTTATTCATTCTTAAGAATTATATTAAATTCTGAATATTGTCTTTAACTTTGATCTTTAAGTTTTTGAAGATAACTTCAAATGGAAGCATTTTGGAATTGTAGCTGTCATATATTTTTAAAACTAGAAAACAAAACTAGGGTAATTTTTTTAACCTTAGTTAATACTCATATTTACTGGTATCACAAAAAAGAATCCTGTACATGATTTCTTGAAATGTTTTTTACTCAGATAATTATCTGAAAGATTGAGTTTCAAAGGATTTTTACTCAGTGTAACTACAACCATCAGTTATATTTTTATATCAGATCTTAGTTGAAGCTTATTTAAAGATTTGAGCAATGTTTTTTTAATGTCAGAAATAAAAATATACTATTTTAAACATCATAACTATTATGACGATATCTTTTTCATCTATTCAAGGACTTACTTTTGACGAAAGAGATATAATTGAGGGTTCATTTCGACAAGGAAATTTAAAAGTACTTGTTGCAACATCTACATTATCTTCAGGGGTAAATTTACCAGCACGGAGAGTGATCATAAGAACTCCTATTTTCCATGGTCAGGTCCTTGATACCTTGACATATAAACAAATGGCTGGCAGAGCTGGTAGAAAAGGGGTTGATACACAAGGTGTTGTAGAATGTTTGTATATAGCAAACCTTTTAAAACAATATACCTCAATGTTTCTGTTACTATTAATAACATACCTTAGTTTAAAAATGTAGGAGCTGTTAATTATTATTACTTTAATGACAGTCACCTTGATATTTGTTTCCCTTTTCAGGTGAAAGTATTTTAATTTGTAAACCTCAAGAAAAACTCAAAGGAAAATCTTTGCTTAGATCAGACCTTCCACCAGTGAAGAGTTGTCTTCAGTTCAGTTTAAAAGGTGGCCTCAGCAATTGTTTGAAAAGAGCTGTTTTAGAAGTAAGAAGAAACATACTTTTACTTTTATTATTTTGACAGTGCTAAAATATTGTGTTATCCAGTAACATACCCAAAGGGGGAGAGCAGTAGCTTACAAAACAGGTTAAGTTTTGTTTTTGGTTGAGCTGTGTGTATATTTTGTGCTGTGCTTTGTGTTGTTATGTGTGATAAGTTGTTTTGTGTTTTAATTGTGTTTTTATTCTTTTATGTTCTTCAAAGATTACTTTTGAATGCATTTTACACCATTGCTAAGCAACGAATAACAGCTAGTATATATACATATTTATCATCAATTTTCCTGTTCTTGCCCAAGACACATGGGGCAGATGAAGTAGAGTTCATCATATATATATATAAATAAATAAATAAATAAATAAATATATATATATATATATATATATATATATATATATATATATATATATATATATATATATATGAGCTAGTTAGAAAACTTTTAAATTAATTAAATGACAAAATAACAACAGGGTTATATTAAGGGGACTAAATACTGCAAAATGATACCAACGTTATGTTTATAGGTTTAACGGTACTCTAGATATGACAGTTTTAGTGTAGAAAAATGCATGGACAACAAAGCCTATGGAGAATGAAAAAAAAATTGGTCTTGTCGAGGGTATAAAAAAAAGGCGAATGGGAAATAACTCTGCGTAGGTGCACAATTTAATTATAGATTTTCAAATAAGTCTTCTTCTTCTTCGTTCTTAATGTTTAGTGTGGATTACTTTTCTTTTTGGATTTGCTTCCATAGCCTTTGTCCAACCAAGAACAAATTACAAGGCAGCAGTTGTTTGATTTTGGAGTTGTCTCTCCTAGAAGAGTGGCTGTCTCCAGCTTACAAGCCTCGTCTGCCCGAGGGTTCGAACTCGAGACTTTTCGGTTTAGCAACCATGAGCTTTACCGACTCGACCACGCCGACCCCTATAATAAGTATTTTTTAATGCATTCTTAACTAAAGAGTATCTTTACCAAGAAATTAATAACTTTTTACTTTCTTGTATACAGAGTATAGAAGAAGCATTGCAATCGTGCACAAAAATCACATGAAATTTTGACAGTTTTAATCGTTTTACACCTCAGTACTTCATCATATACAGAATATAGGGGACTTATTTTAATCGGTAAAAAATAATAAAGGCTGATTTATCGAAATTTCAGCGTTCTATGCGTAATCGAGTCAGAAAAACTTTGTGATTCTGTCCTTATGTTTGTGTGTATGTGAGTCTGTAAACACGATAACTTGAATACCGTTAAAGATAGGTTGAAGAAATTTCATATATAAGTATTATATCAAATTTGTAGTTCTGTATTAACGTTCCAGCAATTTCTGATAACCTGAAGTGGAACTTATTCTACTTTCAATTTTTCGAAAGCCTATAACTTGAGTGCTGTTTCAGATAGATCAGGGGTCTCCAAACTGCTGCCCACGGGCCAGATGCGGCCTGCGAGGTCCTCGCATCCGGCCCACAAGGATCTTTATGTCTATGGAAAAATGTTTGTTAGAGGTGGCTGAGGAACTTTCCCCAGAAAATTCAAAACAATTTGGGTGCAAAAAAAAGTTGTAGGAAAGTTCTGAGCAGAGTATTTAAGTTAAGAAAGGAAATAGGTGATTTCCTGGAAAGTAAAGGCAAGCTACAGCCATTAATGCCTAATGAAGAATGGGTATAGAAATTGGCCTCTGCTGCAGACATAACTAGTCAGTTAAATTTTCTGAACCTAAAACTTCAAGAGACGGAAATCTAGTTTCTATACACCCACCTAAAGGCCTTCAGATCCAAACTTGTTGTATTTTTGGAATAAGTACAGGCCAAGCATTTGACGTACTCTTAGCAGTGCAAGGTCTTCATAGCTGAAGCAACAGCTGAGTTCCCCACGTCATTTGCATGCGAGATCATCAAAGACCTCCAGCTGAAGTTTCAGCAGCGGTTTTCTGACTGAAGCAAATGTGGCCAGTTGTCCAGATGAACTGCAGCTGGAGGTCATTGAATTGTAAGCAAATGACTTCCTTAGAGACACTTTTACAGAAGTGTGTGGGTTTTTATAAGTTTTTGCCCATGAAAGACTTTCCTAAAATTAAAACTTTTTCATCAAAGTTCCTTTCAAATTTTGGAACAACGTACCTGTGTGAAGAAAAATTTTCAAGGATGAAATACGTTAAGGATAATTTGAGAGCAAACTTGGAACTTGGACCTCGATTATGTTGCTGGCCTCCGACAGTCTTTGTATCAGATTTGACAGTGTTTCTATCAGATTTTTCTTCGCGGAGGGGGGGACTTGAAATTTATATTTATTACTATAGAAATTATATTTCGTTTGGGAAGGGGGGGGGTAGACGTTGGGTGGGGGTGGGGGGGGGGGGCTCTACTCTGAAGATATGCCTTGAAGAAACTTTGGCCCCCAAACTGATATTCGATAGTTAATTCGGCCCTCAGGTTGAAAAGTTTGGAGACCCCTGAGATTGATAAATAAAATTTCACATGTAAGTAAAAGATCTAATTCTTTGCCTTCTAACAAATTTGGAGTAATTTCCATTGAATGTATGTAGTAATTTACGCTATTTACGATTTCTCAAAAAACAGCATGTGAAATTATAAAATACTAATAATATTCTGCACTATTATACACAGATTGTTTGTTGTTCACTTGCTGCGAAATTCTTTTTTCTGTGAGATTCTATTTTATTTAAAAAAGTTTAAGTAATTAAAAATGGATTTAAAATTATATCTGTATCCCGAGTTGCCATCTCCCGTAGTGTAATATAAAAATATTCCAGAAAATTTAGGGGAGATCACTCCCACTTTAATTAAATTTGGAATTGGTCTATTATATATTATTTAAATAAAAATAGACCACTAGCTAGATTTAATAATTTAACTCAAACATCATAGTATTAGTATAAATAAGAGTAACTGGCTGAGTAAAAAAATAAACATTCCTAATTCCTACAAATGCTACTGGTGTTTCTTTCAGACTTGAAATTTTCAGAGGGGGAAGGTGGTTTAAATTTCCTGGGGAGGGGTCGGACACTGATAAAAGTATATTTCCTGTATAAATTCTATTTCGTTGAAGGAGACGGTAGGCATGCTTTGGGGTGGGTGACCAATCTCCCCTCCTCCCACCCCCCTCCTGTAGAGGCCCCTGAAAGAAACTCTAAATGGGACTTTTGTCTTGTTTGAGCTTAGGTACAAGGTTTAGTTGTATGACTTCAACTACTATGTTTAGTATCAAAGTGTAGTAACTACGTGTAGATAAAGCTTAAATCTGGTTAAAATGACAATTCCGGATAAAAATCCATTTTCAATGACATTTTTCGTTTTCAGTTAGATTTGAAGTTGAGGTGGTGATTTTGGTTTAGAGAAAAAAGGCAACACGATCAAATTAGCACCCACAACGGGCCATTTTTCTCCTTTTAAATAATAATACAATAATTACATTTGTTTAAAATTGAAAAACTTAGCATTTTAAAATGTTGTAACTCATAATACTAAATTTCCTTAAACCATAAATTCACATGCTAAAAAGCATTTTAAAATACTGTTGACAGTGTTGTACCTAAATTTGCTAAAACCTGAAATTCAAAATCTAATATTTTTGTAGATTTTCCTTCTTGAAAAGGTAAATTATTTATTTTTCCATTAGGTTGTAGTGAGTGAAGTTGCTAAAAGCTCAGATGATGTGGTGACATATATAGGCTGTACCCTGTTTGCTGTCTCCCTATCCAATGAAAGAAAAGAAGATGTAAAAACAACAATGGTAAAAAGCTGCATTAAATTTCTTCAAGAAAATGAACTTCTCTCTGTCCAAGTCATTTCAAATAATAGTAAGTAATATTTTCTTTGATTCAATTTTTAAAAATATAGAGTTTAGCATTTCATTTGCTAGGAAATGATTTCATAAAAAATAAACAATTGAGCTACAACTGACTTTTGTGTATATTTTGGTTAAATTGCGCTCTTGAACAATGGATGTGGATGGATATCTTATTTCCTTCACACTATAAGTAGAATAAACACAGTTTTGTCAGTGCGTCGACAAAACGGCCAATGACAAAATGGCCCCATCAAAACGACCACGACCAATCAGGCTCCATCAAAAAGGCCAGCGACATATGGACCCCGTCATATTGACTCCTGATGAATAGGCCCCTGTTATTTAGGTTCCCGACAAAAAGGCTCCAGTCATTTAGGCTCACATCATTTAGGCCCTCTACAAAATGGCTCCTGTCATTACTACTCGCGACAAATAGGCTCCCGTCATTTAGGCTCCCGACATAATAGCCTCTGTCATTATGACTCACAACAAAATGGCTAACATCATTTCGACTCTTGACAAATAGGCTCTTGTCAATTTGGCTCCTTTAGAAAATCTCCTGGCAAAACGTCCTTATTGAATATAACACCAGCTAGTGACATCCGTCCATCAATACTCTTTAAAGTTATACATCGTATGCATCTCTTGTTAGGCAAGCCTTATTTTTTATTATATTTTATCTAGTATAAGTATAAGAGATAGTATGTTTATAATTTTAGGGTTATCTAGCTATGACTTCCATAAATGAGTCGGTTATAGGCTGTTCCAACTCAGTGTGTGGGGAGAGGGGTCCACGCTGTACATTCCTACCTGCAGTATGATTGTAGGTTATCAAAACAGAATGCGGTTATCCTATAAACATCATGTTTATCATACATTTAAGCTTCTGTGCTGCCTTTTAAGCAACAGATCTTTACTGATGAAAATTAAACATTATAAAAATTTTAGAATTGATGGAATTTAGCTGTTAAGGGCTCGATTTGTTTGTGAATTGATGTTGGTTCATGAAAAACATTTCATTCAGGCATTTAAAAGAGGTTATAGTGGTAGTTTAGGTAGGACAAAGCGGTTACTTTTATGGCAATAGTGGTTATACGATTCATTTGTCGGGAGCCAGTATATTGTGATCCCATTTGTCGGGAGTCCATTTGACAGGAACCTATAAGTCGGGGCCCTTTAGATGGGGCTTTTTTGTCTGGGTAGTTTTGTTGGGGGTCGATTTGACAGGGTCATAATAACGGGGCTGTTTTGTCCTGGGCCGTTTTGACGGTGCACAGTTTTATCTAATTTTATAATTTTTAAAATTATTGAGTTTACCAACCTGTTGTTAAAATATTTTACTTTTTACAAGCTTTTATTTAGTTTGCATTGTTGGTTTGTTTGTGGATTTGTGGCAAGTCTTGTAACTCAATTATGACGCATGTCTAATGCAGCGATTTCATTTGAACTTTCCAGATATGTTCCACTTTGATAAAAATACGAGTCTATTTTTTAATTTAATTAGATGTTTAATTAATTATTAAAAATTAGTCATAAAATATTCATAAAATTAATCATAAAATAATAATTAAACAATTTGTAAACTAAGGGGAGATAATAAAATTGAATTACGCGATAGAACACTATATTCACTAACTGAATGGGAATACGATATTCACTAACTGGAGGGGAGATAACTAGCTTTATGCTATGACCCAACCAGTCTGGTAAGCTGTGACTCACCCAGAATGTTTCCAATCGTAGAGCTGGATTGAATTAGTGAAGGCTGTCAGGGGCTAAAGTTTTTAAACAATTTGCAACAAAAGGGAGGTAACAAGATGAAGAACTTTGGGAATAAATATTTAAAGTGAATAAATTTTATCTCATTAATATTCAGTTTCATAAATTTATTCTTAACTATAGTGTCATATGGGATTTTAAACTTTATTATTGTTAAAATAGACTTAAAAGCAGTTAAAATCTGTATTTGTTTTCTTCTTCTAGTTCTATACCAAGTTTAATTTATCAAAGTACATTTGTAGCCAAGAAAATACTAAATTTCTATTCTGTTGTAATGCTGTCTTGGCTTATTTACCTGTTGTTGACAATTAACTCACAAAAAATTGCAGGCTACTGTAGTTTGTCACATTTGAATACATGTTGGGCAATAGGGTAGTTAGCTGTTATCTGGTCAAATAAAACTTGTATATATTTGAAATGACAATGAAATTTAGCCAACAAATTAATCAAAGGCTTGATCTTACTTTGCATCATTGCCAAGGATATACTAAAAATGTGTTTATAACTTTTAACTTGTGCATCAAATTACATGTATCTTTAAAGAATTTTCCCAATTGGAATTAATTGAAATGCTATTAACCTGAAAATTCCCTTTCAGAATGTAGCAGAAAATAGTTAAACAAGCCATTAAATAGATCTTCATTGAGGTGTTTCTTTTCCTCAAACTTTGAAACCCGCTGATCTGGTTCATCGTAACTTAAATTTTGCTAATATTTCTAAACAAAATATTGCTTGCTCAAAGGCTTGTACCTAAAATATTTTTATGTGAGGGCACTCGTATTTTTAAGTATTAGAATTTCCTATGTAGTACTACTATATAATGGGACTATATGTTAGTAAAGTTAAATTCTTTAAATCCCTTGCAGAATAAAATCCTTGACAGATCACAGCCAACCATTGGGCTTGTTGCTTTTAGTTAAATATAACCAAAGTCAAATATATAAGCCTAATAATACAAAATAAAAATAATTTAAATTAGGCCTAGGTTTTTTTTTGTCAAAATAAAGTAAAATTTAAATCTAGCCCTGTTGGTTTTTAAAAAATAAGTTCATCGAGTGTTTTTGGAGTTCTCCATTACATTATTCATTTTAATGCAGATTTCATGATCTCCCACATTTTTGATGTTGTGGAAATGAAATGTTGATTTTATTGTCTGTAATGTCAGCGGAATGTACATAATCAGTTCTTTTGTGCTCCAAACAATCTCAAATTTTTTTTTATCTGCCATTATCATCATCTGCTGCAACAAAGTCCTCCAATGATTCTGTAGGACATTGTAACACTGTAGATACTTTTGCAAATGTTTGATTAAATGTCAGCTTAGTTTCAATATCTGATAATTCTTTTGGTGCCAAAAAATATGCTGCAGCCTACTTTTGAGAATCCTAAATGACAAAAACAATTTTCACTCATCTTTGAAGTAAAAAATTCCATGGTGGTGCATCTAATAAATTAATAGAGAAATCTTTGGCTTTCGTGGTGATTAAAAATTTTAAAGCCATTGCTTGTGGGATAGTAACATTTTAATTTATAAATAATTCTGAAAAGTGAAATAATTTGGTGTTAAGTGGTTTTTGTTTTGTGCTAAATGAAGCAAATAATTATCAAACACCTAGTTTTTTGTTTGTATTATTTTTCTTTTCTTGTAAAGCTTTTTTCAGCTTTTATGTTGAAAATACCTCACTATATCTAAATATATCAATATCTATGGTGACAGAGTGGTTGAGCACTAGCCAGAAGGTCTTGAGTTTAGATCTTGATCCAGACATTCCTGAGTCTACCCAGCTCTGATGGGTACCTGACTCACGTTAGGGAAAGTTAAGGACATATGAACTCTAATCATCTTCCCAGGGGATTGTTAGGTCTGCAAGGGAAACTTCACTTACCTTTTATTTTTGATAAAAATAGGTCAAGTGACATTGAAATCTTTAGCCTTGACTTGTTTGCTACTTTATTGACTCTTCTAAACATTATTTCATTATAATCTCAAAGGTAATGCTCACTGCCTAACTACTAATTGAAAAAAAAATTTTTTTAGTGTTTTCAAAAAAGCTGCAATTTATTTAATGAAATGCTCCAAACTAATGTTAATAAAATCAGATTTATATTTCCCAAAATGTATCATCTTGGGCACACTTTCTAGATGGATCCAAAAAATTACAAATTTGTTAGTAGCTAAAAAAAAACAAGTAGGAGTTTAGAAAAAAATTAATTAATGGTATTGAATTTTTAAAAACTTATTTGGAAAACATTAGGAAGATTTTTTTGTTTTTTAAATTAGAATTTTTGGAGGATTAGCCTAATAATAAATTTTGAAATTTTAATTTTAAAACCAGATGGATCAGACGTTGAGAAGTTTTTTCCAACCCAGCTCGGTTCAGCAATTTTTGCCTCTTCCTTCTCACCAGATGAAGGCCTGTTGATATTTGCTGAATTAAACAAAGCTCGTAAAGCATTTGTTTTGGATTCTGATCTACATATTGTTTATTTGGTTTGTTATAATTATTTTTGTTAGATTGCCATCTTTAGATAATTTACTAGAAAACTTAATAATTTTACATGTTAACCTACTTTTGATTTTTACTTTTGCCTAAAGGTAACACCAATGTACACCACAGATACTTCAACTGTAATTGACTGGTATCAGTATCTTGCCATATGGGAAGCTTTGACACCAGCAGACAGGAGAGTGGCTGAACTTGTGGGCGTTTCCGAAGCTTTCATAGCCAGAGCTATTAATGGCAGAGTGAACATGAAAAATACTGTGCAGAGAAAGATCATGGAAGTTCATCAAAGATTTTATACAGCATTAGTTTTGAATAATTTGGTAACTGAAAGTCACTTTAAATATAGTGATTAACTATTACATATCCTCTTATATATTAGTCAACATCTAATTTAAAATTATTGATGAATGTAATTGAATTGAATGCATTTATAAGTATCAATATAAAACTATTAGCGCTTGTAAGATAATGTCAAGGTATATTCCATAATTTAATTTACTTCGTAGTTAACTTTGTTAATGTTTTAATAACAATAGTTAGAAAAAACAAATGTATTTTTTCCTGTTAGAAGCTTGCAAAGTACCCTTTCAGGTCGATATGTTGGATGTAATCATGTTGAATATATCTGTTTAATAACACTTTTGAATTTAGTCATATTATTTAAGCACAAACTGATATACTTTAAAATGTAATACAGAATATTACTTTTGAAATATCTTTTCAGATTCAAGAAACCCCTATACTAGATGTAGCAATGAAATACAATCTTAACAAAGGTCAGCTTCAATCTTTGCAACAGACAGCTGCCACGTATGCAGGTAAAGAGATCTCACTGTTTTCACTTTTTTTCTGTACAGTAAAATTAAATTAAAAATGCTTATAATATTTTCATGAACAGGAATGGTCACGGTTTTCTGTGGGAGATTAGGATGGCACAATTTGGAGCTGCTGTTGTCTCATTTCCAGAAAAGACTTTCATGTGGAGTTCAACAGGAATTGGTTGATTTAGTACGAATATCCACCTTAAATGCATCAAGCGCTAGAATGTTGTATAATGGAGGCTACCACACAGTGGCAGATGTAGCAAAGGCAGAACCAATTGAAGTTGAAAACCTTTTTAAAAAAGCTTCACCTTTTCAAAGGCAAGTTGATCACTTTCCCTTCCCAAATATATCAAGTTAAAATTGCTGTAAGCTTTATTTCTGCTTCATCTCTTATTTTATATTGACAGTTTATGTTTACATATTCTTTATCTGTTTCATTATCATAAACCATACATGAAGTTTCAGAAAGCCTATTTAATTTTTAAAAGTTATTCATATTTAAGTTTTTAACTAATTTCTCAGCAAGGACAACCACTATGTCTGGCATCTCTTCAAACAGATCATGGGGATATTATACTATTAATTGATTTCTTAATTTAAAATAGAGAATACTTTATAATTTACATTTTAATTACAACCAAATCTATTAAGAGAATTTATCTCAAGCAAGATACAATAAAAGTACATTGAAGTTGTTTCCAAATTTAGTTGAGTACAGATAGCAGAAAAATAAATACAATATTCACCAATATCCAATTAGTTATGTTATACATTTTTTTTATTACAACAGTCTCTTTTTAATTTTATTCTTATGATCTCAGTTCTGACTTGGTAACTGCTTTTCTTTATTAACTATTCAGTGAGAAAAAACAAGATGGTGAAACAGATTGGGAATTAATAGAAAGGCAACGTGCTAGATGTATCTGGTTGACTGGAAGAAAAGGAGTTACAGAATTGGGTGCAGCAAAAGCTATTATTGATGAGGCTAAGTCAATCATTGAAGATGATTTAGGAATAAAAAAGATTTCATGGCAGCTCAAAAATACCAAAGCAGATGATGAGACTAGTACTAAAATAGTTACTGAATGTGAATATAACGGGGATAAAAGTGGAGTTAGACTAACTAATGCAACCAAAACAATTGTTGACAATGAAGAGACAGACAATTGTGTGAAATCTATAGCACTTGATAAGGAAAAGAAATCTTATTTTGGAAGTTTAGTGATGTCAGGCCAAGAAGCTAGTAATTTTAACAAGAGTAAAGAACAATCTTACTTCTATCAAGTAGCAGTTAGTCCCCCACTAGGTATAAGAACAGATCTAAATGGTAACTCAGGTTCAAGTTATTTGAGTCCTAAGAATGATAACTCTACTAGCAGTCCTGCTTCCTACATGGACAACAGTAAAAGTTTGCAAGCCTGTCCTCGCAATCAAAATATTGCTTTCAGCACAACAGGAATGAATATAACTGAAGTAAATTGTGATACTAGTACAGAAAATACTGCATCACATACTCCTAAGATTTTGTCTATGATTAACAGCACTATTTCTTTTAATGAAAGCATTATTTTAGACACTCAAACACTGCATCTCTTGAATAAACAAAATTCTGAAATACATGAGGTAATCACAAATGAATATATTGCACAATCATCTGATGAATATAAAGCAACTGAACAAGACAACAAAACATCTCAGGACAAAAATAAAAGAATTACCAGCCATGATTCATTTTTATACAGTTTACCAATGACATTAATCAGTGATTTAGAACCAAATAAATCCATGACAAAAATATGCGAAGGCACTGCTGATATAAACTTGAGCACACATAGCTGCTTTGAAAGATTGCCTCATTTTGATGAAAATGTAAGAGATGATAAAAAATACATTTCTTATAAAAATGTACACCAGGTATCTCAGGAAAGTTTCTGCAAATCACCCCTGATAGAAGGAAGGCAGATTGGGACACCTCATGAGTATTCACCAATAGAGAAGTCCAGGTTTAACAAAGAAACTGAACTAGATGACCCATTAGATGAAGAGGCTTTACTTGCAGCATTAAACACAAGTGGTGATAGTTTTTCTTACTCTCCACTGATAACACATTTAGGCAGCTCTAATACAAACATCCCATGCTTTTCTACTCCAAGGATTTTAAACAGCCCTTTTTCTTTGGAGAATAATAAGAGTAAAAAGAATTCCAGTAGTTATTCTCAGCTAAAATCCATTGACCTTCAGACAGATGTGGACTCCACATCCCAGATTGACATAAATGAGAAGGTGACAGAAGATAGTTTTTTGGATTCATTTAGTGTTTCTCTGATGGACAAAGTGATGACAGAATGTGATCATCAGTTGAAGCTAAACTATGGTAGCAAGAGTACACAAGTTCCGCATCTTGGTAGAAAAGCAAGTATGAGCACTGTTAGCACTTCTTATAATTCAAGTAGCAAAGAGTCATTTCATTGTGGTGATAGTGACTGTGTACCACCCACCCCACCTAGAGAAGGATCAGCATCATTTAAATTATCATCCAACACGCCTTCAAAAGAACAGAATTTAAATTTTAGTAAAAGATCTGTCAACCATCTGCTACTAGCACAGAGCAGTGAAATAGATAAACCCAAAGAAATTTTTACAAGTATAAAAAAGTTTAAGAACAATTTAAAATGTCCCACCATCTCGGCTGATCAAATTAAAACTATTGAACTAGTCAAAAACCAATTCCCTTGTGATTCCACAAAAGAAGCTTTATTTTTACCTGACTTGTGTACCCAGCAATCATTTACCATCATTGATGTATGTGCTGATAAGCAACTTTTTCATACTTTTCTTGATGAATGGAAGCTACATCCTTATTATGCTTTGTCACTTGCCTGTGTAAAAAAAATTCCAGATAAAAAAAAGTCTCATTCTGGCATTGGTGGAAAGTTTGTTAAAAAATGTAAGTCACATTATAGACTCAAGTAATCCATGATATAGTTTCATATTGCAGCATTATAAATAGTCTAAGTTTATAAACCTTTAATTCTTAAAGCCAGTCCTCATCTACTATTACACGTTACATATTTTAGCTATATCTGATTCAGAATGTCATAATTTGACTCTAGATTCAGTTTAAGATCAATTTTTTTTATTTTAATGAGGTATATTGATCTCTGAATTATAAATATTTAGTTCCATATATATATATTAAAATCTCTTGATATATTATATTTGCTGAGTATTTTGTATTTCTTCAAACCTTTTTCTACAGCACCGATAGAAACCAAATTAGCTGAAGCATGTGGTGTACAAATCCCTGAATGTCATAGTATGATAGTTGGTGTAGCTGTGTCTTGGGAAGACAGGGATGCCTATTATATATCTCTTGTGGCTGATGGATACATAGGTAATTTTCAAATGGTTTGTAAACACATTTTGGCTTTGATATTTTAACCTACAGTTGATGCAGTTGTGTTATTTCCAAGTGTTACTGGTAAATTTGTCTGGCAGTTTTTGCACTCATCTTAATGTGACACTCTTTTTATCTTGCATTATTAAGAAATTTAAACTATATGTTTGCATTTATCACTAACAAAACAGAGTTTAAAAAGTTTGACTACTTTTACTTGAAATTAAAATAGAAACTATGCTGTTTTCAATTCAAGCTCAAAAAAAAATATTTATTCACAGTTATATTTAATTACACCACAAAATATATTGAATTTTGATTTTTTTTTCAGTTAAAAATAAACCTGATGACACGCTATCAGAGCCACCTATTGATGACACACTTCCACTAGATTACAGAATAGAATCTTTATATAACATTTTAGGTAATCATTTTACAGCAACCAAATATTATTTTATTAAAATACAATATTATTATTGTTTTGTTTTTTCTAAATTAATTTGAATTAGATTAGTAGGGTACAATTCTATTTTTATTTATTTCCTGTAAAATAGTTATTATCTTTATAACCAGTTTTTCCATTTTCCCCATTTTAAAAAAAGTGAAGTACATTTAAAAAACTGTTTCAGATTGTTCTAAGCAAACAGTTGCTATATATGACACAAAGCAGACATATGCATATTTAGCAAGCACATTCGGAATCACACTGTTACACTGTGAAGACCCTAGAATAGCAGACTGGCTTCTTGATCCTACAGCTCGGCTAAAGAATCTTCATCGGATGGTAGCCAATCATTGCCCCAGTGAAATGATTTTATTAGATGGTTTGTTCCTAACGTTTAGTAATGTTGAATTTCCTATACACATTCTTTTCTTCTTCTTCGTTCTTAATTTTTAGTGTTGGAAGGGATTGAGACTTATCTGCCAGAGGGTTTGAACTCGAGACTTTTTAAAATTTATCAATCATGCGCTTTTGCCGACTCAACCACGCCTCCATCACAAATAAGGATACGTGTCAACCGGTTATGGGCCATTGAGGTCATTGACTCCTATTTCAGCCTGCTTTTCTTTTTGGATTTGCTTCCATAGCCTTTGTCCAACCAAGAACAAACTACAAGGCAGCAGTTGTTTGATTTTGGAGTTGTCTCTCCTAGAAGAGTGGCTGTTCCCAGCTAACGAGCCTCATCTGCCCGAGGATTCGAACTCGAGACTTTTCGGTTTAGCAACCATGAGCTTTACCGACTCGACCACGCAGACCCCTCTCATTCTTTTAAATAACAGCATACTCTGGTGTGTGAAGAGAGGGTAACTTAGCGCTAAACAGCAACCTTTTAACCATCTGTAAGTATATGGAGCCATTTATTTATTTTACTCAAAAAGAAAATAGAAAAATGACCCAAAATTTAAGAACTTTGATACCTTATAACTTAAGAGAATTAGACTACCTATTTCACAACATCAGTATTCTATGCCTATTTTTTATTCATTGTCACAAAATTATGGAGCAATATGAGTACCAATCAAATATGTTAGCCGTCATAAATTATTTGACAGAAATTCAATTTATGACAATAAGAATATCAAAATATGATTCCTGACATAAGTAACCTAAAAAAATAGGTACCCCTTAATTAATAAATATCACTTCTTTATTCCCCTACCCACATACTTACTAATGAATACAGATTCAGAGTCTCAAACCGCTAAAAAAGAACTAGCTCTGTGACAGAGATCTGTTTTTACTTATTGAAAATAATTTTAACCAAAAAAAATTATTCATTTTCAAAGCTGAATTTTTTTTTGTGTTGATCTATTTTCCCATGATTTTAAAAGTTATTTTCCTTTAGTAGATTTTATTCACCATCAAACCAACAAATGAATTTTATCATAACCTATTAATAGCAATATGCTTTAGTTTCATTTTCCAATTCACTTTAATCACAAGTCTTCACCATTAACCTGTGGTCCACATGTTTAGAAGCACTTATGAGAGAGAGGTTTATTTAAAAAAAAATTGTAATCGATTATTAATTTGTTTACTACAATAATCAGGGCCAAACTATTGTAATTTAAACTTCAATAGGTATATAATACTTTCTTGAAACTTGATGAACCTTGATTGAGCACTATAGTTTTAGCACAGATCATTTTTACTCTAAAATTAGTTCAAAGTTAAAAAATTTAGATGGAGAGGAATAAGGATCTGTCTGTGTAAATGTGTGTGGGGTTTTTAAACTTGAAATAACTGTCAAATAAATGATGGCATTGAAATTTAAGACAAATAATAATAGGTTTCCAGTCTGATTTCTTCATAGACCATATTGGACAGTTTTGCCATGCTTGTGATCTCCAGCCAAACTCACTATTACAAACCTTTTTTGGGGTTATCCATGAAGGCCAAAATTTCATGCCATTGTGATGGCCATCTTGGAATTTATCTACCTTTTTAACATCAAAATAACTCAAAGATGGCTTATGCAAATTAAATAAAATCTTGCAGGATTATAAAGATACTTGTGGGTAACAATTGTGAGAGATTAGTAAGTAAGTAAAGTAAAGTAAAGTAAAAAATTCAATCTACAGCACGTGGTGTTCCCAAGCGGTCACCCATCTTCTAAGTACTAACCACGCCAGACGTTGCTTGACTTTGGTGATCGGATGAGAACCACTATCTTCAACGTTGTATGGCCGTAGATGTGATAGATTACATTTTCAAAATACTTTTGTTTTTATTTTTTTTTCTTAAAATCACTTTTAAAAAATTGAAATTTGTGCAAAAAATACACCATTTTATTTTAACTGTAAAAGAAAAACCATACAAATTTTCAAAAATGTGTTTAATCAGTTTTGTTGGTATATGTATACAGAATAACTAGAGAAAACTTTGATCAATTTTAATAATAATTAAGAAAGTTATTTCAATGTTGAAATTGTAAAAAATATATCCAAGATGGCCGCCATCACCATGGTAATGGCAGGACATTTTTGGCCATTTTTTACTTTCTCATATATACGAAGTATAGAGAAAGTCTTGTAATCGTGCAAAAAAAAAAAATCGAGATTTTTACAAATCTCGACGTTTTACACCACACTGATACGGAAAAACATAATTTTGCAATCTTGTCTGTGTGTGTGTCTGTCTGTCTGTCCGTATGTAAACACGATAACTTGAGTACCATTACAGCTAGGTTGATGAAATTTCATATATAAGTATTTTATCAAAATCGTAGATCCGTATCAACTTTTGAGCGATTTCCGATAACCGGAAGTGGTACTTTTTCTACTTTGAATTTTTCAAAGGCCTATAACTTGAGTACTATTTCAGATAGATAAATGAAATTTCACATGTAAGTAAAAGATCTAATTCTCTACCTTCTGTTAAATTTTGAGTAATTTCCGTTGACTGGAAGTAGTAATTTACGCTACTTCCGATTTCTCAAAAAACTAATGTAAATTTTAAAAGTACTAATAATATTGCGCACTATTATGCGCTTTTTTATTTGGCGTTCACTTGGTGTGCAATTAATTTGTCTACGAGATTTTATTCTATTTTTAAAACTTAAAGTATTTAAAATGGATTAAAAATCATGTCTAAAGCCCGAGTTCCCATCCCCTGTTATTTTATATAAGAATATTCGAGAAAGTTTAGGGGAGATCACTCCCGGTTTATTTATATTTAGACTTAACTCTTTAGTCACAACTATATGCTAAATATTATAATTTATTGTATTAAGTTTAGAAATAAACATTTTGGTTGTCATCACCCGCCCTTGCCCTTACACAACTTCACCCCTCATTTGATGTCCATAAGTTATTGTTCCAATAGTTCAAAATTAAATTTACTTCCAATATAGTGCCCTTATGGGAGACCTGGGCACTTTGGTTCACACAAATCCCTTATTGTAATTTGATTCAAGTAGTTATGGTAGAAACCTTTGGTGTGTATTTTAACAAGCTCCCAAAATTTCATGGTAATCGGGTGAATTGTTTAATAATGCATTGCAGACAGCAAATAAACAGACTTACTTTAATTTGTATATATAAAGATTAAAAGTAGAATCTAGATTGCATTGCAAAAATAAATAATTTAAAACAATAAATCTAACATTTGTTTTATTGTTATTTTCATTCACATTACTTGCTTACTCTCAGACATATATATGGTCATTACCAGCTCAAACTTTTTGCTCATCAGCTTAAAAATTGAGCATTTCTTCCATCCCTACTAAACTTGGTTTCCACCTGGCTTTCTTCACTACTGCCATTTAAACATGAGGGGTAGTTCTGTCATGGGACCCACAATCTCAAGCTTGGATCCTTAACCTGTTACTGTTAGGTTAGCGAGTGCTATCTACCACTAGACGAGTCCTTGACTTAAGCTTGTTACATAGTTATAAATATATAGATACACTGACTTAATTATCCATTCATCTAGGTTCTAGCATTTAAATATATATAAATTGTATGCATAATGAATTAAGTTTTATTATAACCTTTTAGTTTATTGATGTTCATATTTTAGTTTATTGATGTTCACACCATACACACTACATCTTATCTTGTCAAACCTTGTTGGCATACAAAATTGATTGCACTTTGCAGAAAAAAATCATGCTGTATGAAATCAGTTAAATTAAAATCAATTTTAATTTTTAAAAAGCAATTGAATGCTTCACTTAAGTTTCATACCACTGTACATAAAAAATGGGTAGTAATAGCAGAAACTAGAGGCTGCAACAGATGATAAAACGTTTTATATTTAAGTATATTTTAATGAAACATAAAACTGCTTGATAAGTTTGTTTTTCTCTATTCCAGCTATTGGAGGAGCAAACAGCTATCAAAGTATAGGTCTGGACATAAAGAATCAAGTAGATGGGCGGTTAAGAGCTTCCACTGAAAGTATCTTGGTGATGAAACTAATGTCTAAATACCATACATTACTTGCTGAAGATGGTCTTATGGATGCATTTGTTAAGGTTGAGATGCCATCGCTGATTACCCTGGCAAGAATGGAATTGAATGGTTTTGGTAATAAATAAAACAAATTATTTATTACAAGAAAATAACACTATTGTAACTTCTTTTAATTTTATGTATATTGACATCTTGTATTGTTTTTTTTTACATTTGCAGGAATTAACAATTCAGAACTAGAAACACAGAAGTTGACAATGATGAAAAAACTTGGTGTGCTAGAGCAGCAAGCTTACCAACATGCAGGACATGTTTTTTCTCTTACTTCATCAGATGATGTAGCCAGAGTAATATCTGTTTTGTATATGCCAACTATTTAAATTTCATTGTATCTGACCCATCCGTAAGTCACACTAAAGGGGACATGCACAATTTATGTTCTATTTTTTAAATTTAAGATCAAATGCCTTTTAATCATTTTAATAGTCATGAAAATGGTAAAAATCTGCCATTTTGAATTTATTGTAAATTTTTCAAAACCGAAATGCTTTTTAAAATTTTGAGTTACAATAATTATATTGTTAATTGTTTTAATTCTGCTGAGTCAGGTGCTTCATGACAAACTAACGGGGGGGGGGGGGGGGTGGTTAATATTCTTTAATTCAATTGAGTGACTATATAACGTTTTAGTCATTAGTTTTACTATTGTTTAACGCGAACAATTTGAAGTAAAAAAATAAATTATTTTCTTTAATAGATATATAATAACTAGTATAAAGGTCCTGTGCATTTGCTGCGGTCTCAGAGGAAAGGCAGACACATTATTTCAAGAGGATTTCATCAATGCATTACCAATCGCATATTTTTAGAAATGTGACCTTGTTATCTAAATCTTAGTTATTTGAATGCAAACAAAACAGCCACTATATTTCTTGGATCATAGTTCTTTGGGCAGCAGTTTGCCTACCCTACCGCCCACACGCTCCAGGATGTGCTTTATGAAAGCCATAAGTGTACATTAATCACCCTCTGTTACAGTCAGGTAAACATACCTGGGTGACCATACTGGTGTCAAGGGTGTAGTTGGGCGCTCTTGAAAGCTGCCTTTTGTTTATTTTATGGATTAGTTAGGTTGTTATAGTCGTTTACTAAGTTGAACCAGGCGGTTTGGCGGGCGCCCCAGCAGGGTGCGATTTTGTGCCCCAGGCTAGACTGAGAGCACTTTGCGTTTTCATTTGTGTTTTTTTTGCATTTGTTTTTGCATTTGCATTGGTTTTGTGTGCTTTTTTTTTGTTTGTTTTCGTTTGTGTTTTGCTTGCATTTTTGTTTGCACTGTGTTTTTGTTTGCATTGTTTTTGTGTTTTCATTTGTGTTGTGTTTGTGTTTCCTTTAGTGTTGTGTTTGTGTTTCCTTTAGTGTTTGTATTTGCGTTGTGTTTGGGTTTAGTTTTGTTCTGATCCCAAGTTGGTACATTTAAAAAAATTCACCATGGCGGAAAAATTATTTAGAAAAATTAACTTATTCTTGTTGTATTTTGCCATTACAGAAATGTTTTACATTTTAAAATATTAAAATATCACCCAAAAAAATCCTAACTTTGCAAGTTCTGTTGCGTATTTCCCTATAACTAGCAATGTAGTATGCGATGGTTTGTATACAAGTATTTTTAATATATTCTTAAAATCTAGAATAGACTAAAAGAGGTATTTTTCAAAAAGGAAATTTTGAATACAGATTTAAGCTTTATAGTTTTTGCTTTTTTTATAGGAAGTAACTTTGTTATTTTTAGATTTTGTACATAGAATTGAAACTTCCACTTAATGGAGACCCAAGTTTAGTACCTCGGCTACCTTCTCGAAGTTGTAATAGAAGGAGAACTACATTAGGCAGTACAAGTAAAGAAATACTAGAAAAGCTGACTAAATATCATCGTTTGCCTGCTATTATATTAGAGTGGAGACGCATTAGTTCTGCTCTTACCAAGTCTCTGTTTGCCCTGCAAAGTTCCACAAGGTATAGTTTTTTTTAAATGTATAGAATATTACCCCTTCCCATGTGTTCAAAACACCCCAGAGATTAACCCCTCACTCCAAATCAGTTACCCTCTCATGGTAATTACCACCTTCTCTCAAGAATACCTTTTATACATGTAATTAGCAAAGTGAGTAACTCTGCATTATAAAGAGTTACTGGAATGTGCAGAATGAGTACTAAAATAAATCATATTTAATTATACAGAAAGCCAAATAAAGGAACTGCTAAAGTTTAGACTAAGCATATTACATCCAAAAAAATTCCCTAATCCTAAGGACTAGCTTAACTGTAGACCTAACCCTAATCTGAATCCTACCTTACAGTTAATTTGTAATTGACAGGGTTTTTTGGAAATATCCTGCTCCACTATTTTATTAGCTTTAATTTTTTTTTTAAGTTAATTGTTTATGAAATATTTTTTTGATAGACATTGTTCAAAGTTTGCTATGTCTCGTGTTTTTGGTGAGTGTCAATTCTTTACTGCTACTGGTCGAATCAGCATGATGGAACCAAATTTGCAGAACATTCCTAAAGATTTTTCATTCCAATTTCTGGGTTAGTATAGCAAAGTTTTAATTAAATTCTTTATATTAGTAAATATACCTTTATGTAAAAGCAACATTATTAGCAAAAATCAATTACATTATAATTTTTTAAACGAAAGTGCTATTAGTGCTTACCTCCAAATTTGTGCACTTAGCATTGCATAGTATATATTTTCTTGCAAATTTCACAGATATTCAAGTAAATCCAGAAAATTCCAGCCATTTAGAGAAAAGTAGATCAAACAATCAACAGCATAATATTGAACCTGACCCTTATCTGGCCGCTCCAATTAGTCTTCGCAAACTGTTTATTCCTTTTAAAGGTAAATTTGGTATAAATATAACTTTTAAGTCTCCACACTTTTGATGACTTTTATTAAATTGCTTAAGTAGTCCTTGATTGAAAGATGAAACTTTAAAAATTACCACATACATTTTGTTAGACAGTTGTAATTGTAAACACTTTTTTATGCCCAGCAATTACAATAAGTTTTTCATGACTTATAAGAACTTGCTTACACAATGGTCACTTTGAAAGCTTGTCAATACAGTCAGATTTAAACTTTAGGTGGGGTACTTCTGGCAGCTGACTATTGCCAGTTGGAGCTGAGAATTTTAGCACATCTCTCTGGTGATATTCAATTAATATCCATTTTGAATGATGTTGGAGCTGATGTTTTTAAAATGATTGCTGCTCAGATGAAGGGATTAGAATTAGAAGATGTATCATCAGAACACAGACAACATGCAAAACAAGTCAGTATAATCACATATAATTAAATATTGAGACTACTTTCCTTAATCAAACCTCAAAAATCACTTACAATTTTGTACACCTTTGTAGATATAATTGATATATATGTACATGACTGAAAAAACATATATATATATATATATATATATATATATATATATATATATATATATATATATATATATATATATATATATATATATATATATATATATATATATATACATAAAGGCAAAGTAGGTGATGTTTGCTTGTTTGTTTGTTTACACCTATTATATCGGGTACTTGCAAGTAAGCTGCAGGGAAATTGTTCTTGACAAAATTTTCTGTTCACTCACTATATAACGGAGAAATTAGATTAATCTCAATAATTTAGTTAAAAGTGTTTGCATTAGATCAACTATTTGCTGATGCGACAAAATGTTTAGATAAAAGAAAATTCCTTTAAAATTTATACTTATCTGTTTTCTAATAGAAAATAAATACAAATTGACTAATTTTTTTAGTTCAACTAGCATTCCAGTCCCCCCGCAATGCCACAGTCTCAGAAGATAGTCTGATGCAATATTTTAAGATGGTTTCATCTATATGTTAACAATCCTATGTTCTTAGATGTATGTCCTTGTTTTCTAAATCTTAGTTATTTGAATGTAAATGATGCCTAGTGAGGTAGAACACACTTAGGCGACAGCTCAGGTGTCAGGGATGTAGCAGATCACTCTCAGAAGCCCCTGGTTACACATCCCCAGGGGTGCAGTGTACAGCCTAGGCTTGATTTAATAATCAAATATTATACGCCACGTAAAAGTAATATATGTGCCATAGCGCTCACAGGATATCCTGGGGCGCCAAATTGCACACTGCTGGGGCGCAGTGGACGCACCTGATTCAATTTAGTGAACACTATCTTCTTCTTCTTCTTCGTTCTTAATTATTAGTGTTGAAGGGGATCGAGATTTATCTGCCAGTGGGTTTGAACTCGAGACTTTGTTCGAATTTATCAACCATGAGCTTTTTGCCGACTCGACCACGCCTCCAACACAATTAAGCGTTACGTGTCAACTGGTTATGCGCCATTGAGGCCATTGACTCCGATTTCAGTCTGCTTTTCTTTTTGGATTTGCTTCCATAGCCTTTGTCCAACCAAGAACAATCTACAAGGCAGCAGTTGTTTAATTTTTAGAGTTGTCTCTCCTAGAAGAGTGGCTGTCCCCAGCTAACGAGCCTCACCTGCCCGAGGGTTTGAACTCGAGACTTTTCGGTTTAGCAACTATGAGCTTTACCGACTCGACCACGCCGACCCCTGTGAACACTATAATACCCAATATTATGCATAGTCTATTGCACTGTACAAAACAAACATGTGCCATAGTGCTAACAGGAAAGCCCATAGCATCAAATCGCATATTAGCCCTAATATCACTTAACATTTTGGATTATGTTTAATATTAGTAGGCTATTAGGTTTGTTGTCAATTTGTAATTAAAATGAAAAAATGTCTTACTCCAATTTTTGGGCAGTGGGTATTTGATAAGAGAGTAATTACCCAGGGTATGTAATGTCTGGAGAAATATCGGAAGGTAATTCTCAGGGTGAGGGAAATGTCCTGCTTTCTATATGTTATTGGTTGCGGGTTAGTAGTATCTAATTTTTGTGGACTATCCTTCTTAGCTTTAAACTTACTTTGATATCTGGACTTAGTTTTAAGGCAAACATCTGCATATTACTATAATGGTATTACAGATATAAATAACATTATTTTTAACTTTCTAAGCTTTTAAAGATAATGATTAATAATAGTAATATTCATTTTTCAAAACTAAAAATAAGATAAGGAACAAAATTATTTTTGTGATTCCAGTTTTATGAGTGCATGTAAAAAATATTTATATCATATATGTTCTTTAGCAACTGTCTCAATTATTTTAAAAAAAGGAACATTGTACTTTTTCTTTTGGTAAGGTTTGCTATGGTATGTTATATGGCATAGGAACAAAAGCATTAGCTGAACAGTTGCAAGTTAATGAAAAAGATGCAGGTGTGTTCATGGACACATTCAAGTCAAGATATCCAGGTTAGACATAATTACTGAAGGGGTGGGTTGGAGGATGGATGAAGAACACAGTAACAACATTTTTTTAGCCTGATAACATTTATGTTATTGTGTAATTTTTACTTTCTCGTACATACGAAGTATAGAGAAAGTATTGTAATCGTGCAAAAAAAAAAAAAATCGAGATTTTTATAAATCTCGACGTTTTACACCTCACTGATACGGAAAAACATAATTTTGCAATCTTGTCCGTATCAAAAATCAAAATCGTAGATCCGTATCAACTTTAGAGTGATTTCCGATAACCGGAAGTGGTACTTTTTCTACTTTGAATTTTTCAAAGGCCTATAATTGAGTACTATTTCAGATAGATAAATGAAATTTCACATGTAAGTAAAAGATCTAATTCTCTACCTTCTCTCAAATTTTCAGTAATTTCCATTGACCAGAAGTACTAATTTACTCTATTTCCGATTTCTCAAAAAACGCAAGTAAATTTATAAAGTACTAATAATATCCCGCACTATTATGCACATTTTATTAAGCGTTCACTTAGTGTGCAATTCTTTTTTTTTACGAGATTCCATTCTATTATAAAAAGTTTAAGTAATTTAAAATGGATTACAAATATTGTCAATGTCCTGAGTTGCCATCCCTTGTAGTTTTATATTAGAATATACGAGAAAGTTTAGGGGAGATCACTCCCGGTTTATTGTATTTTATATTTTCTTTATTCTCACTTGTTGGATGAATGTTTTCCTTTGCTTCTTGGTGGCTTTTGATGGAAACTCAACTACATGCTTAAGCTGTTTTTTCTATTAATCACTTCCTTGTGAACTCCTAATAAGCTGAATCCAAAAGTAATAAGACACTAGGGACTTTGGTCAACATTTGAACCTGACTTGCAGAGTTTCTTCCAGGCATCTCTTCGGGGGGGCGAAGCCCCCCCGAAAAATTTTTACCGCCCCCCCGAACGAAATGAAATTTATATAATTTATATAGAAAATATATACTTTTAACAGTGTCCGCCCCCCCGAAGAAAGTTTACCGCCCCCCCGAAGATTTCAAGTGCCCCCCCGGAGAAAAAAGTCTGGAAGAAACACTGCTGACTTGGCCATAAGAAACTGAAGACTGCTTTTAAAGGCTTTTATTTAACTCCCTAAGTATGTTTGTGGCTCCACAAATCTTGGAATATTAATTTAAATCTTTGTCCAATTGAGCTGAAATTTGGCACAGTGGTCGATTTTGAATGATAATGCAAGAAAATCTAATTTTTAATCTAATTAGCTATACAATTTAATTTACTATATTCAATTACTATATGCAATAATAAAAGGGGAGATAACAAGATAATAAAATGCTAGTCATAGCTTGATCATAGGGCTGTCAAAGGTGGACTGTTTTCATCTTTGGCTGATTTCATGCACTATCTTGACAATGAACTAAATAGGGACAAATAACTGAATTTTACTAATTACAAGCTACTGGATAGATTTCAGCTCAAATATTTTTAGTCATACCCTATTTTAGTTGTAGACTATGTAGTGCCAACTTCATTTTGAACAAATTACTAAAAAGAGAAACAATTGTCACATTTAACAAAAAAATATTAAGGAAAAAGGCTATTGTTACACAAATCACAAAACAAATTACAAATGAAAGAATGCATAAAAAATAAAGTAAAACAAATATTTAGTTTTTATGTAAAATAAAAGCCTGGGACTCACTTATGAGAATATGTTCCCTTTCATAAGGAGTTCGTTGATAGGTTTTTGTTTTATAGCATAACTAGCGTACCCAAGAAGAAAGTCCGAGGACAGCTCAGGGAAAACCGCACCCTACAAAGGGTGTCGGCGGACCCTCCTGATCCAGTTTAGTGAACGACTAAAATGCCCCATTGTATCCATAGTTTATTGCATTTTATAAACAAATGTAGGTGCTATCACGCTCACAGGAGAGCACTGGGCGCCTAATTGCACCCAGCCGGGATGCTGCCCGTGCAAAGTGGGTTTTTTCGCACAAATCTCCCCAGGTGTATTCTCGACTTTCCAAAGTTTCATGGTGATCAGATGAAAGGTGTAGAAATGCATAATAGACAAATAAAGTCTGACGAAATATATATCAGGAGGGTTTCATTTGCTTTACCAGTCATATATTCTTAGACGCGTGACCTTTTTTTCTAAAACTGAGTTATTTAAATGTAAACAATGCCTGTACTTGGATCATATTTATCGGGACCAGGGTTTATATACACTACCGCTGTATGAAAGCCTTGAGTGTTAATCACTAACCGTAATATCACAGTTAATCACTCACAGCCTACGTGCCGGGGACATAGAAGGGTGCTCTCATTAGCCCCCGATTGCACTACCACAGGAGCACAGTGTACGGCTCTTGGCTTGGTTTGATCATTGAATGTTGTGTGCCGCTTGGTCAATATTGTAGGATGCTCCTTAAAACTAACGTAGTCGCAATAGCGTCACAGGATAGCCTGGGGCGCCGAATTACAGTCTGCCCAAGCGCCGGCGAACGCACCTGATTGAATTTAGTGAGAAACAATAACGCCCATCTTATCCATTGTCTATAGCAATGTTTAGAACGAATGTAAGCACCATAGCGCTCACGGGAAAACCCAGGGCGCCAAAATAACGCCCAGCAGAGTGTTGACTAAGCTAACTCTAAGAGTATTGATGAAGGGTTTTCACTGGCAGGTGTCATATTCATTAGGCTGTTTCACTGGATATTTAGGGTCTACGGAAATTGTATTGACAGGGGCCCTTTTGTCAAGAAGCCTATTTGTTGGGAGTCTTAATGACGAGGGCTATCTTGTCGGTGACCAAAATGAGGAGACTATTTGTCGGGAGTCATAATGACGGGATCTGTTTTGTCAAGAACCAAAATGACTGGAGGCTATACGTCGGAAGCCTAAATAACAGGAGCCTATTCGTCGGGAGCTTATATGATGGTGTCCATTTGTTGCTGGCCCTTTTGACATGGTTGATTTGATGGGGCTCTTATGTTTGGGTCGTTTTGTCAGGGCCGTTTGTCATTGGCCGTTTTGATGCCGCATGGTCCTTCACAATGACCTCTCCACTGTGTTTAGTTGGGGTAGGGGGGACGCTATACCGTCAATGTTTAAAATCAGTCTAAGGCTATTTGAAAAGTATACACATCAATGTGTTCGCTATCGCCAAGATTATAGGTCTGCTTGGCTCAGATGTTTGTTTTTCCAAGTTATTTTTTCCTTCAAATTACAATTTATTTCAATCTATCTAATTTCAGTTATCTATCAAACTAAAATGTTTAAATTACAATTATGCTTGTTTAAGTTTAAAAAATTCAGGTACCTCTAAGAAACGACATAACTATTGAATTGAAAACAGTGCAAATGATCATTATAGTTTAAATAAGTTCAATTTAAAAAAAAACTTCTTGTCTTTAAGCAAAATATTTGCTGTTTATAGTTGGTTGCGTGAATAACTACACACTTTTGGCTGACTACGCACTCTATTGAACTCTATATAGGAAGTGTTACTTATGATCTACTTAGATATATTACAAGCTGCAGTGTACATTTCTACATTTTAGATTAGGTTTCAAAGTGTGACTACTATCACCTTAACTCACAGTATTAATTGTTTGTATGAAGATAAACAGTTGTTTTGTATTGGGGGAAGTTCTAGAATGTAATATTACATTATGGCAATCAAGATAAGTCTACAATTTTAATTAAACATTTTATGTTGTATGCACAATCCTTTAAATGTTAATTTTTGTTTAATGATTGTTATAAGGTTAAAATCACTAAAGGAATGTATAATATGACATAATATGAATCAAATGTTTCAAAAAGTAAGTAAGTTCTGTCAAATTTTATTTTTTTTATATTCTGACGTAACATCAAGTTTCGGGGTTTAAAAATTTAAGTTTTGGGATTGAATTTTAGGATTAAAAAATAAGTGGCACCCCTAATAAAATGTCTGCTTTTTTGTGGTGTAATTAAATTTAATTTGGCAATGGTTATGCGTGTTGAAATTTATATGAAAAATAGCAGGGAATTTATAATTGGAATATCAGGGAATTTCTCAGAATAGCAGGGAATTTTCTGGTAAAAAATTGTGGGAACCCTGTTTATGTTCAACTTTCATCATTAGTACCCAGGCTTTTATTATGCAGACCTATAAAAACTAAATATTTTTTTTACTTCTTAAAGCAATTTTTAAATTTATTTCTTTGTGGTTTATGAATATAATAAAAGTCCTTTTCAGTAAAAAAAAATTTTTATGTGAGAATTATATATTTCTTAGGTGTACGGAAATATTTAAGGAATGCTGTTGATCTTTGTCTCAAGAATGGATATGTGAAAACAATATTTAATAGGAGGCGTTACTTGCAAGCTATTAAGAGCACAAATCCTCAAGCCAGAGCACAGGTAAGGAAGTGTCCACTTTGCCCTTTATTTAATTGTATATAAAAATTCAGACACATTAATAGTTTATAATTGAAGCTTGTTTTCTAATGGTTATCAAAGCTAGCAATTATAACAATTTTTAAAAAATTATTTATCTGCAAATTGAAAAGAAGTGTAGTCACAAAAGGGAGAAGGGAGGCACAAATTTGAATGAATCTTTTACCCTTTTTACAAAAAAACATTTTGTCAATCTCACAGCTCATGCTATCTAACCATTCTCTCTTTCTTTTTTTTTTTAAACTAAGTCTAAGAAAATTCTATTTTTCTATCTCTTCAGAATAATTGTCTATCTAAACTTTCATAAGTGAATTTGAATAAAAAGCAACCTTTTTCAAATTATAATTTCAGCAATATTTCCTTTAAAATTATAATTTTCACCAGGAAAACTTAAAATTACCTTCAATTTGTTGTAAAAAAGAGGCAATTTCCCCCAAGAAATGATATTTTCCAAGTTTTTACTGTGGTCATTGTTATAAACAGTATTTCAGTGTACTGCAGGGGTATGAGAGTATGTGTGTTGGGGAATGATTTATATTACTAAAAGATTGTGTGTGACGAAGTATGTAAGGATGTGAGAGAGTAGGAGGATCTGGTTGCTGGGGGGAATAGTTTAGATTAGTCTTCATCATGTTGTGCTAGGGTGTAGATGTATTTGTTGTGGTGAATATAGTTATCTACATTTAAGATGTGAAAGTGGTCATCCTCTCCGTGTGTATTTAGCCATGCAATAACTAAGCAATGAACCAATGCAGTCCTGTTCAGTGATTCATATCTGACTGTTCAGTGATTCATATCTGATCATCATTGTCTATAAATACACGTTGACATAGAAGATTGACCCCATCCCCAAACTCGCATCACAAGTCAGTTATATCTCTTAGTTTATTAAAAGGATCTTACATTAAATTCTTTGTTACAATATGGGGATAGTTAAAAGCATAACTAGCTGTTTCCTGAGTGCTTTTACTGTGCACCTGCACATTTGACTCTCTACTAAAGTTTCTAGTTATGTCTGTGACATAAAACCTCTGCCACAAAGGTACTTGCTCTGTTGTGTGATGCATTGATAGTCTACAAGTCAAAAGTTACCTTTCAAACCTGGTGGCCCACTTGGCAGGTGAAGTAGATTTCCGTGGCCTCTGCATATGAAGGGATGGTGTGGTCAGGGCTATGCCCAGCCTCCTTTACTTTCCATAGCATAAGTCAGGTACCAATCAGAGTTGGATGGGTTCAGGGACGTGAGACTTTTAGGTTTAACAGTTGAATGCTGTACTATTCAACCTTGCTGTTCCATGATAATATACAAAAGATGGACTAAATTTTGTGTCACTTAGCCTTATAACTTTTGCCAAGTTATACTTACCCCCTAACATTAGTAGTTATCTCATATTTCCATCCAAGTTATAACAAGGTGGTGTGTAAATGCTTTTGAAAAAGTTTACAAAATGTGACATTCTATTTGGTTTAATAGTACAGTTTTTAAAAAGTATAATTGAGGTAAATCACATTTCTTCTACCATCCCTTTGAGCTGTTCTTCATCTACCATTTCAACTTTTTAACATTTCTTAACAAAGTTTTTTTTATTGGTAAGAGGATCATCCACTAATAACATCCACACCCCACCCCCATCAGATGTGGATTATTTTTTTTTAAATGTCATGTTATTGTTATCTAAAACTTACTTACAATATATTATATATTAATTAACACATATATTGTGTATGTGTAGCTTGCAATTCAAAATATTTACATAGTGATGTATTTTTTTGGAAATATCTGTTATTAAATACTAAAAAGTATTATCTAAAATGTATTGAGAAAAAAAAATAGAAATTTTCAAAGTAGAAATATCAAAAGTGCGTTTGATTTATAATAATTTTATTTTAAATTCATAACATCCAGTGTTTTTATTTCTGTCTATTTTTTGTATTGAAGTATAAAAAGTATTATTTTCTGTATGCAACAAGCCGTACTTGATTTAATAATGTACTGAACTTGATTTTCTTTAAAACACTGCACTTTTGTTTGAATGTGTACATCTTGTATGCAGGTTAAAAGTTGTGTTTGTTAAACATTTAACTATTTTGTTGTTTAGTTAAATGTTTGGACATTCTCATAAAATAAACACAGTTCATCTGTAGAAGTTAAATATTTTGACACCTTCTTCCCTCCCTTTGTTTGGAGATCACAAACTGACGTGCGGCGTCAATTCGGCCAATGACGAAACGGCCCCGTCAAAACGACCCCGACAAAACGACCCCGTCAAAACGACCCCGTCAAATCGGCCCCGTCAAAAGGGCTAGCGACATATGGACCCCGTCATATAGGCTCCCGACAAATAGGCTCCCGTCATTTAGGCTACCGACAAATAGGCTCCCGTTATATAGGCTCCCGACAAAAGGGCTCCAGTCAATAAGGCTCCTGACAAATAGGCTCCCGTCATTTTGGCTCCCGACATATAGTCTCCCGTCATTTAGTTTTTTCCACAAAACGGCCCCCGTCATTACGACTCCCGACAAATAGGCTCCCGCCATTTAGTTTCTCCACAAAACGGCCCCCGTCATTACGACTCCCGACAAATAGGCTAGCGTCATTTTGGCTCCCGACAAAAAGGCTCCTGTCAATTTGGCTCCAGACAAAAGGACCACTGACACAGTGGCGTAGCTACCGTAAAGCTAGCGTAAGCAAGGCATGGGAGCCCAAGGCACATAGGGGCCCTTTTCCCTCATAAAAAATTAAAACTTTTACAATGGAATTTTAATATTTGTTACATATAAATAATTTTAAAAAAGAAAAAGGTTAAAAGTTCCGAAAAGCCCCCCCCCCTCCCCCATCGTTTCGGCAGTGGGATTCAGTGTTTGTGGGTCAAAAAGAGCCTAATCGTTATAATAACACTACAGGCGATATCACTTTGTCGTGCAAGACATTGAGAGAATCAGCCTATAAATAAACTTTTTAGCAGTAGTGGGCAAGCATAATAATATAGTATAAATACAAAATTAGAACATATAAAATACAAAATGTTGCCTTCAGAATATTTATATATTAAAAAATATCCATCGTAAGTAGAAGTTGATCTCTTCGTTTAACTCCTCTGTAGCCTAACGCAGAGGCGTAGCGAAGGCGAGGCGGGGGGTGCGGACCGCAACGGGTGACACCATTTAGGGGGGGGGGTGACACCAAAGGCAAAACATTGTAAAATGTATAGATAGGAAATGCCATTTTCCAGATCCATTAGTTAAAGTTAAATAGTCTTCTAAGTACAAATCGAAAATTATATCAAGAGGGGGGGGGGGGGGGTGTGACACCATGACGTAAACGTAAACTATAAAGAAAACAATGCTACATCCAACTGTATTATATACAGACTGTAGATAAACATCGTTACTATTAAGTCAGCAGTGATTAAAGCTTGTACGTGTACCAGTATGTGGCATATATATAAATTTTAGGCCTATGTAGGCCGACACACACACACACACACACACACACACACACACATATATATATATATATATATATATATATATATATATATATATATATATATATATATATATATATATATATATATATATGCTTTGTTTCCTGGGAGGGGGTGACAATACGAAGTGCCGCACCGGGTGAGACCCGACCTAGCGACGCCACTGGCCTAACGGCTGACGAAGGGGCCCACTGATAATTTTTGCATAGGGGCCCAAAAATCCTAGCTACGCCACTGCACTGACAATACCGTTTCTGTAGAGACTAAGTCTCGCGGCAAAGCGGTCTCATTGAATATGACATCTGCCAGTGTGACCCCTTCATCAATATTCTTTAGAGTTAGCTTATCCAACACTCTTATGTAATACAACGTATTGGGGGCGGGGGGTGCGGACCGCACCGGGTGACACCATTTAGGGGGGGGTGACACCAAGGCAAAAAATAGCAAAATATCTAGAGAAAAAGTTGAGGGGGTGGGGGTGCAAATCGAAAGTTTGGGGGGGGGGGGTGCAAATCGAAAACTTGAAAGTTTGTCCCCGGGAAGGGTCGCAACGCCTCTGGAGGGGTGACACCATTAAGTGCCGCACCGGGTGACACCCGACCTCGCTACGCCACTGTGCTTGTAGGTTATCAAAAAAAATGCTGTTATCATGTTAACATCATGTATATCATACATTTACACTTCTGTGCTCGCTTTTAAGCAACAGATCTTTTCTGTTGTAAATTAAACATTATCAAAACTTTAGAATTGGTTGAATTTAGCTGTTAAGGGCTCGATTTATTTGTGAATTAATGTTGGTTCATGAAAAAATAATTTCGTTCGGGCATTATAAAGAGGTTATGGTGGTATTGGAGGTAGGACACAATGGTTACTTTTATGCCAATAGTGGTCATATCATTCATTTTTCTGGAGCCAATATGTCGGGAGTCATTTTGTCAAAAGCCAATATGTCGGGAGCCCAATTGCCGGGAGCCAATATGTCGGGAGCCCATTTGTCGGTAGCCAAAATGTCGTGAGCCCATTTGCCGGGAGCCCATTTGTCTTGAGCCCTTATGTCGGGAGCCAATATGTCGGGAGCCGCTTTGTCGGGAGCCAATATGTCCTGAGCCTATTTGTCAGGGGTTAATATGTCGGGAGTCCATTTGTCGGGAGCCTAAATATCGGGAGCCCATTTGTCGGGAGCCTATATGTCGCAAGTCAATATGACGGGAGCCCATTTGACGGGAGCCAATAAGTCGGGGCCCTTTTGACGGGGCTATTTTGACGGGGTCGGTTTGTCGGGAGTCGATTTGACGGGGTCGTATTAACGGGGCCGTTTTGACGGGGCCGATTTGTCCCGGGCCGTTTTGACAGGGCACCCAAACTGATGATCTCTTAATAGCAGGGGTCTCCAAGCTACGGCCCGCCGACCGCATCCGGCCCTCAGAGATCTTTTTGTCCACGGAAAAAAAATGTTTGTTGGAGGTGGCTGAGGAAAAATTCAAAACAAATTGAAAATATAGCATTGGGTGCAAATACCTTTGAAGTAAATGTGGCCGGTTGCCCAGCAAATGACCTCCTTAAAGACAAGTTCAAAGAAGGGCGGGTGGGTTTTATAAGTATTTGCCCAAGGAAGACTTTCCTAATATTAAAACTTTTGAAATTACCTTTCAAATTTTGGAACAACATAAAAACTTTATCAAGAATGAAGAAGGCCAACGTGAAGAACAATTTGAGAACAAACTTGGACCTTGAGTGTGTTGTCGGTCCCCGACAGTATTTCTTTCAGACTTTTTTCTCTGGTGGGGGGGGCACTTGAAATTTGCATGCATATATATATATATATATATACATATATATATATATAGAATTCCGTTGGGGGGTGGGGGGCAAAGAGATGCCTGGAAGAAATTCTGGACTGAACGTATATTTGATAGTTAATCTGGCCCTCGGGCTGAAAAGTTTGGAGACCCCTGTCTTATAGCACCATTGGCACAATAGTTTTTTTTTATTAATTAATTATTTAATTTTTTTAATTACAAATTACCAGCAACAACAAAACTTGTGTATGTATATTTCAGTAATTTTTCTCTTTTTGACACTTTTTAGGACATTCTTTTATGTTTCCACAATACTATGTTGAAATAAAATGTATGTACTATGTTCACACTCGAAAATAAACTTTACGGACTACTGCTCAGGTAGTTCTACTGTAAATCTAACTAATTTTTAATGTAATGTAGGCTGAGAGACAAGCAATTAATACAACAATACAAGGCTCTGCTGCTGATTTGGTCAAAATGGCCATGGTAAACATTGATAATAAGTTGATGCAGCTGTTTCCTTTGTCAGATAAGAGACATTACCTAAACCAACCAAGTAAGTTATTTTAAAGTTTTTTTGTGTGCAAAAAAAAAATGACATTAAAACCTGGTTGATAAAGCTCATTAACTGCTAAACTGGAAAGTCCTGAGTTCCAACTGGAGTTGGAGTCAACTGCCCATGAGGCACATAACAAGTTGATACATTACTTAATTGTGTTGAGGAATTCCCTTCCAACATTAGTTAAAAGAACAATGAAGAAAAAGAAAATATTATATTACATTTTATATTTCTTCTCATTTTTTCATGAGATTTAAAAAAAAAATCATTTGATTCTTTTCTTGTAGATTCCAATATCAGTAAAGGTGGCTTTCTGGTTCTTCAATTACATGATGAATTAATTTATGAAATTTCTGCAAATCATTTATTTGAAATATCAAAACTTGTTAAGCACCAAATGGAGACAGCCCTTAAACTGGATGTATGTCTACCAGTGAAATTAAAAGTTGGTCAAAACTGGGCTGATTTACAGGAATTAATTTTAAACTAATTTCATTCCTCCTGAATTTTATTTGCATAGACAGCTTGAGGCAATGAACTGAATGAAATATTAAATATTGACACATAAAATATGATAAAAATGGCTGTTTTATCAGCAGTATATAGGTTCTTACTTATTTATTTATTAACACCATTGCTCAAAGATGTTTTATTTTAGTGGTCATCCATTTGTACAATGTTCTCAAAAATAGCAATTTTAGACCACACACATTTAGTAACAGGTATTTGTATATATATATACTTTGCCTGTTTTTTAATATTAAATGTAGAATTTAGAGAAAGAACATTTCAATTTCTTGAGCTTACTAATCACTAAAGTACTAATTTTGTAAATATACATTCTATGATTGATTTAAATTTAATTAATCACTGAGCTGGATTTTTTTTAACAAAAATTAGTATTTTCATTTAATAAATGTATACAAAAGGCATATTTTCCCAGTTAGGCCAGTGGACATCATGAATCACCCCTAAATATTTATTTATACAATGCTGAGGCAATCTTTTAAGGTTATCTTATTTATAAATGATAGTATTGATAGGCCCTATGTATTCTTTATTTCTTTTTTAAAGTTTGTTATAAGGAATATGCCTACATTGATTTCAAATTTTAAAATTACATAACTCTCATAAACATGAGTCATTATAAGATCATTTTGATTATGCTGCAGTTAAGTGTGTTCATAATCTCTTGACATAGCTTTAGTTTAGCATTACGTTTGGGTAATCTATTGTGTTTGAATATATTGTTAAAACAGACTGTTGCCTAGTCTATCTCTCTAATATATAATAAAATATATGAAATAAAAATAATAAGCCTATCAATTAATAATTTATTATCCTAATGAAAATTATAATTTACAGTAATATGCATTAGCTGGTGTTGTGTTGTCATTTTGATTTATAATTAAAACTAATTTTATAGGCTACATGATGAATTTTTAAACTTGTAAAATAAAATTTCAGTGTTATTTTTTTTGTGTACCAAAATTTATTTGCATAATATTTTTTTTTTAAATTATCAATAAAAATAAAGCGGGAGTGATTTCCCATAAACTTTCTCGTGTATTACACTTTTTAAATATATAATCTATACTGTTTTGCTGTCTGTGTATCTATCTATGTATCTGTCAAGAACGCTATAGAGAAAACACAAGCAGAGTAAAAACTTTCATAGGAAAACGAAATGTGACGTCACATGGAGCATATAGTAAGATCTAGTGATTTTGTTTTTGGTTCCGATTTAGAGGAAAAGATAACACTATCAACCTAGCGCCCATTGTACCTCTCCCTCAACGGGCCATTTATCTCGTCTATAATAATAGTTTCGCTGTCTGTCTATCTGTTGGAACGCTTTTATTTGTAGAGAAAACACAAGCAGAGTAAAAACTTTCATAGGAAAACGAAACGTGACATCACATGGAGCATATAGTAAGAAATAGTCTCAAGCCGGGAAAGTACACACAGTAATATGACGTCATTGATTCTCGAGTAAACAGTGAATTAAAAAGCCAATTTTGTCTAATCGTAAAAGTGTTTTGCGTGAAGAGTTTCTTTCATGCATCTCTTCGGGTAGTGGCAAAGCCCCTCCCCCAAAAGAACGTCTAAGCCCCTCCCCCCCTACCCTCAAAAGAAATAACGTCATCGATACTATTTAATAAAAATACTGGCATTACCGCCTAACTCATTTGTCTAATCTTAAAAATGGTGTGTGTGAAGAATTTATTTCATGCATCTCTTCGGGTAGGGGCAAAGTACTGCCCAAGTCCCGGGCACGTCCTGCAGCCAGAGTTTCTTCTAGGCATTGTGGAATTTATATAGGAAACATAATTTTACCAGTGTCCCCTCCCCCGGAGAAAAGCGTCTGGAATAAACACTGTCAGCAGCCTACTTGAGACACGGGACAATACGACAACACGGCCCTCGTCCCAGGAAGGGGCCGTGATAAGCTGGCTGATCGGCCCGGGGGGGGGGGGAGGAGAGGACATGAGAGAAAACCCACTAAAACCTAACGCCCCATCCAGCTAATCCAATAAATGTGTTCCCCCCTAGTTCATCATTCCTTTGTGGCTCCTGGGGAGCAAAGTGCTGCAACCACACATCTCCATCGGATTGCTCCCTTTTGGGCTGCTCCCTTTATCTGTGCCCATGTGAGCCCATCTGTTTTCGCCTCTTCTTCAACCGTTCTTCTCCATGTCTTCCTTGGCCGGCCCACCCTCCTTTTTCCCTGGGGATTCCAATCTAAAGCGTGTTTTGCGATGTTTTCTTAATATGTGTCCGATTCATCCCCATTTACGGGCCTTAATATCTGTCTCTATTGGCTGTTGCTTTAAAGTTTGCCACAGGTCTTTGTTTGATATTTTGTCTGGCCATCTTATTTTAAGTATATGCCGTAAGCATTTGTTTACGAATGCCTGTATATCAGTATTTGTCTTCGTAACTCTCCAAGTGTTCGAGCCATAGAGCAGCACTGCCTTGACATTTGAGTTGAAAATCCCAATTTTGCTCCGGAGTGACAGGGCCGTGGACCTCCACATCGGACGCAGTGAGATGAAGGCCCATCTGATCTAGCCTTGTTGATAGGACATTTTATGTCCTCGTCTGCTCCCCCGTCCTTATTGATCACGCTTCCCAGATATGTGAATGTGTTCGTTTCACGTAAATCTTCTCCATTTAGCTGTATGGGCACGTCCTGGCTGTTATTGATTCTGATGACTTCTGTTTTATTTTTATTGATTTTTAGTCCAAAGTTGGAGGCTTCTTCAGATAGCCGATTTAGTTTGGCTTGCGTATGTTGATGCTTGTGAGATAGAAGGCAGATGTCATCTGCAAAATCAAGATCTTCCAACCTTTTGGTGAAACTCCACTGGATTCCTGTGTCGTTTTTTGTGGTTTTCAGCATGATCCAGTCGATTGCCATCAAGAATATAATTGGCGATAGCATACATCACTGTCTTACTCCCGTCGTCACCATGAATGGTTTTGTTAGTTTTCCCTTGTGTATTACCTGACTGGTGGAGTCTTCATATAGTTTCTGTGTGATAGATATAAATTATTTGCGTATTCTATAGTGGCTCATTAACTTCCAGATAACATCTCTATTCACATTGTCAAACGCCTTTTCGAAGTCGACAAAAGTCATGTATAAGGGGGATTGCCACTCAAGGGATTGTTCAACAACGATGCGCAGCGTAGCAATATTGTCAGTACATGACCTGTCTTGACGAAAACCAGCTTGTTCTTGTCTCAGCTTTTTGTCCAAGGCATCTCCAAGTCTCTCTAGGATTATTCTTGTCAGCACCTTACTTGGGACTGAAAGAAGCATTATCCCTCTCCATTTGTTGCATTGTGTCAGGTCTCCCTTCTTTGGCAGTTGTATCAGGTATCCCAGTTTCCAGTCAGATGGGATTATTTCTTCTTCCCAAATCTGCTTAAGTAGAGGATGTAGTATGTCTGCTGATATGGCTGGGTCTGCTTTTAATGCCTCTGGTGGGATGCTGTCCGGGCTCGCTGCTTTGCCTTTTTTATGTTCTTTATTGCTCTTATTGTTTCTAACTTTGTGGGTGGATCTGTACACACATTTAGTAAGTGATTTGCAGGTGGTATATCAGGGATGTTTGATGAGAGAGGATGGTTTAAAATCTCATCAAAGTGCTGTACCCATCTGTCTCTCTGTTCTGTGTCACTTGTTAAGATATTTCATACTTTATCCTTTACTGGTTTGTTGGGGTTGATATTTTTGCCTGATAGGGTCCTGGTTACTTCATAGAGCCTCTTCATTTTTCCTTGTTGTGCTGCAGTTTCTGCCTCCACTATCATCTCTTGTATGAACTGTCTTTTGTCTTCTTTTGCACTTTTCCTGACCATGCGATTTACTCCACAATAATGTGTTCTGAGGTTTATTTTTTTTTCTTTTTCATCCTTACATTTGTTCATCTTTTGCTTTACATCTTTTCTATCTTCAATTTTGGCACATGTCTCTGTTGTGATCCATTCTTTTTGTTCATTTTTTCTTCTTCCCAATATGTCAGTGCATATTGACTTCCATAGTTCCTGTATTCCTAGCCATTTTTGCTGTACTGTTTCTTCTGCCAGGCTGGAGAGTGCTTCATACCTATTTTTTTACCGCGCAGTTAAAGTCTTCCTTTATTTTTGACTCCTAAGATATGCTGTATTGCATTTAAAGGGCGGTTTATCAGCTCGATCCCTGTAGGATTTTAGTTTTGATTATAGTGTTGCAACCACGAGTTGGTGGTCTGAGACTGCTTCTGCACCTCCTTTCGCCCTAACATCCATTAAACATTTTCTCCACTTTCTGGAAACTGTGATGCGATCAATTTGGTTCTTTGTTTTGCCATCGGGTGACGTCCAGGTGGTCTTATGTAGGCTATATCTTTATGAGAGAAAATTGTCCCCCTATAATTAGATCATTGAATGCGCAGAAATCAGCAAAGAGTTCCCCGTTTTCATTTATTATGCCTATTCCATTTTTCCCCATTGTGAGCTCACGATCTTTATTTTCTGTTCCAACTTTGGCATTCATGTCTTCCATTACTATCTTTATATCTCTTTTTGGTGATTTGTCAATTTGAGCTTGCAGGGCGCTGTAAAAGTCCTCTTTCTCTTCATCTGTTGCAGCATTTGTGGGTGCAGAGCACTGGATTAAAGTTGTTTTCCTTCCCTCGGCATTGAAACGAGCTGCTATGAGTTGTGGCCAGTGTTTCTTCCAGACTTTTTTCTCCGGGGGGGGGGGGGGGGACAGTAGACTTTCTTCGGGGGGGGGGGGGGCTGTAGAAGAGAAGCCTGGAAGAAACTCTGGTCGTGGCGAGACTGGTTCCCATGCAATCAAAGCATTTGTTGCTTCTGGAGACATCATTATGGCTACACCTTGCGTGTGTTCATGATCTTCGTCCTCGTGGCCTGAGTAGATGACATTCTCTCCCGAGACCAACCTAGTTTGGCCACTGTCATTCCATCGTGTCTCACTTAATCCAAGGACTTTTAATTTATACCTCCTCATTTCTTTGGCGACCTGGGCTGATCTGCTGCTTTCATATAGGGTTCTGATGTTCCAGGTCCCTAATCTGGTTTTAGTCTTGGGCGTTAGGAGATTTGTCAGCAAACTAGCTTCCGTTAGGCTTTCACTAGTAGGCATCATGGGCTCTTCTAGAGAGGAACCTCCTCGACCACGTTGGTGTTGGATTTGTGTACTTGCAGTTTCTGTAGCGGTATATTTTTTTTACGAGATAAGGTTGCTAGCCTTATGTTTCAACCCCCAACCTGGAGGACCAGGGTGTTAGCTTTGGTCTGATCCCTACCCGCGCAGATCTTCCCAGCTTGGTTGAACCTACTAGAAGTTTACACTCCCGCTGGTATAGCTCTGAGGGTGGTCAGGATACACAAGCTGCCAAGCCACCACAAGGCTCTAACACCGGATGGCAGTCCCCCCTAGTTAGCGGGCTCCTATTCCCTTTATCTGAATTTATTGGGATAATGTACTAATTTATTTTGGTTTGGCCTATCGGTAGATCTCGATACATTTATTGCATACTCAGATTAGAGGAACTGCCAAGAGTATCCTATTGAAAATTTATAATGAATAGCGTTGGAACCTAATTCATATAGCAAAAAGACGTGTCGTTAAAGCTATGGCTGACATAAAAGTAAGCTTTAAAATGCGTTAAACTTTCGAATGATTGCCCATTCCATGGAAGCCCGCGATGTTTGTTGTGAAAATAAGTAAATAAATCAAGTGACGTCACTTAAAAAGTAAAGTCTATGTTCTGAACTTTTATAATTGATGGGGTGTATATACAAATGAATATATCAATAAATTAATGTCTTGAAATAAATTTGTGTTTCACATTTTGGGAAAAATACATATATACATATTTTACAATTCTACACAAAGTGTAGATCACGGGTTCCCAACCTGGGGATCGCGACCCCCCTGGGGGGTCGCGAAGGTCTTTCTGGGGGGTC